GAGTAGGGATTTAGTTAGCAACTTTATCCCGTTAGATTAACTAGCGCAGTTGTAAAACTGATGGAGAAAATCATTCGGATATCTGTCATAAACTGTGTTGAAGGGCATAATCTTTTCTCCTGGGAACAACATGGTTTTCGGAGAGGCCTATCATTCTTGACAAATCTTCTCATTGCACGAGAAGATTGGGCTGCTGCAAAAAATAAGAATATTCCAGTGGATGTGACTTTCATAGATCTAAGTAAGGCTTTCGATAAAGTCTCCCACTTTGGTCTTAAATTCCAACTAGAATGTTCTGAAATTCATTATACAGTCATAGATTGGATAAGTAACATCCTGCATGAGAGAGGACAAAGGGTAAGGGTAACTAAGGCTCTCTCCTCGTGGGTACCCGTAAAAAGGGGTCGATTTATGTGCGACCACATTTAGAATATGGGCTTCAAGCAGCGAGTCCTTGTTTTAAGTATGAAGCAGTGATGCTGGAAAGAGTCCAACGACGAGGTACTTAGATAGAACAAGGTCTATCTGGCCTATCTTATGAAGACAGACTGAGACACCTCAACTTTCGTTATCTTACCGTAGTGAATTACTGGAATTCTCTACCGGGACACGAAATATCAGCAACTTCTGTTATTATATGCAAAACGAGATTGGACATCCACAGTATTACAAACTGCAAAGATTAATATAGGTCGATGGACCTCCTATCTTTATTACTGAAGACTGATTGACAGAAAGGTCAGGGATATCTCCAAGGTTCAAGATTACGAAAAAATTATCCCAAAGCATGATCGTTTTCCCAGATTTTTGAATAGGTTTAAGTTGGTATCCTCTATTTTTTGCGATTTGATTGCATTCTTGATTACTGTGCCATCTGCTGGCTAGGTGTACAATGTTAGGAGTAGGCTGGACGGTCAATTAACTGACTAATTTTCTTACAAAAGCCGGTCCGTTTAGCATTTTCAACTGTGATGTTCGATCATTTTTGGGACTCCAGGTGCAGTTAAGAAGTCTGTATCTAGGAGACATAAGTTTTATCAGAGAGTCAAACACTGTCGATGTTATGGCGGTTTTGAGTTTTGGCATACCTTCACTAGTGTCGATACATGTTCCATCGATAGTAAGGTGTCGAAGACTCTCTTCACCTTCCCGAGTGTCTTTATTTGTTTGTTCGTCTCAGGACTTCCTGTTTTCTGTGTTGATGACAATATTTTCGCAGACCTGTCTAGAGAATGGTGATGTTGCCTAGCAGATACCCAGCATTCAAATTAATGTGCCATGTACCCAACTGCACGAGACAAACGCGCTCGCTCATGATACAAGATATACAAATCCACAAATAACTACCAAACTGACTACAGTTGGTTTTGCAGCAAACACGATTCCATTATAGAAGTTTTTGCTGGTTAAAGTTGAAGATGCCACAAGTATACAGAGTTTGACAACGGTTTAATCAGTAACACCATTGTTGGGATATTCAGGAAAATATCCCAAAGATTATTCTGCTAATCCTAATGCTATTCTTGGACATGAAATGGTATCATCCTATTGGTCAGTATTCACTTAACGTGTCATTTTCCTACTGGTCATTATTGTACAATGTTATTTTCTATTTTATGGTACGATGTGGTCAGCTTGACTGGTATATAAGCTAAGTGTGTTTGAAATATAACGATTAATATATCCGAGGCTGAGACTTGCGTTCTGGACTCAAATGGCTGGGCTAGACATGGAAGCGGGACCACTCAGAACCCTAGGTCGTTCTTACGTGTTTGCGCGTCTTTGGTCCGATCGATAATTCGCTACCCTCTAATCTGCCGTCAGATATATCAACCTTCTAATATAACTCGTACCCACCAAGAGAAATCAAAAGACATAATCAAGGAGATTGGAAGATATATTTGATGACTATCAATATATCGAGGATCGTCTGATCTAGTCTGGCTAGCGATTGCAGTGGACGTTGAGCACGGCGTTCCCACACGTGATCTGGTGCGGATGCATGACCGGGCGCCTTCAGCTAGGTGAGTGCATTAAAACACGTGGTCAGCATCCAATGTCGAAAACTTAGTGAGTTATTTATTTTGGGGATTTATTTACCGCAAAAGATCAATCCCCTTTAGTGGGGAAGTGAGGCCCTTAAGACGTGACCAGCCAGAAATTTAAACCCAACGAGTTTTGTCGTTGGTAAACACTCTTCTGACAGCTCGCTAGGTTAGGCAGCGTCTGATCGCCTTTCCTTACTATAAAGGACCATGAAATACAATATAGTAAGAGAATAATGTACAATCAAAATTTTGGTTCCTCGTAAACCTCATCGTTCTTTTTATCGTTTTTTCCAGCCGTCCTGGAAAAGAAAAAAGAGTATGTAAGTGCATGTCGAAATAAACTCGTACGCGCTTTAAGACACAAAATGGGCGAAAAAAGGTTAATAACGTAAAAGCGATTTTTACAAAATGGTTTTTTTGTTTTTAAAATCTCTTTAATATACATATTAGCCAAATGATAAATATATACAAATATAAGCATATTAAAATTTTTTATATATTATATATAATGCCATGGAAAATCGAGGTTAAACAAAATGTTAACTAGTGTCTTACGTGCAATAGTCATTTAAATGTTTTGGAAATCTTTCTCTTCTTCCAGAACGCGTTGTTTTAAGTTTATTTTCAGATACTGTCGGAGTATCATCGTGCGTGTTGGTCTTCGGATGAGGTATTATAAGTACCGGAGTCGTGTCGTTCGATTGTACTGAAGGAAAATCCACGTAGATAGGATTTCTTTCTAAATACGCTGTTTTAAGGCGATTGATGCTGATGCTATCGTTTGTTCCTTTCTTATCGACTATATAGTACTTAGATTTACGTTGAAGAACTTTGAAAGGTCCTTCGTTTGCTAATTCGAATGATCGTCGATGCAAGTCTCGACGTACGAAGACGTGTGTACTATATCGCAAGTCAGGTTGAACAAAACATCAGTTGATTGAGGTCGAGTGGAAGCAGGTTTAACTGAACGCATTGCGTTTGTAAGCCTGTTCGTGTAGGCGGTTAGATCCATGTTCATTGAAAAAGACGAAGGATCCACGGATTCTCCTGGAAGTCGAAGCGTTGTTCCATAAACGAGTTGAGCCGCAGTGTATCCAATGTCAGCTTTCACTGCGTTGTTCATACCTGGTAAGACGAGTGGAAGAGCGTCGGTCCACTGAGAAAAGTTTGCAGCTGATAGTGAAGCTTTTAGTTGTCGGTGAAAACGTTCTACCAACCCGTTTGCTTGTGGATGGTAGGCGGTCGTTCGGAAGCGAGTTATTCCTAAAATTGTGGTCAGACGACGGAAAAGATCAGATTCAAACTGACGTCCGCGGTCTGTAGTGATAGTTGAAGGGGAACCGAAGTTTGCTACCCATCGTTCGACGAAGGTGCGGGCCACTGTTTCAGCAGTGATGTCCTTGATAGGTACTGCTTCTGGCCATCGAGTGAAACGGTCTACGCAGGTTAAGAGGTATGAGTATCCGTTTGAATCTGGTAAAGGTCCTACCAAATCTTGATGAAGATGGTCGAGACGAGCGTCACGAGTTTTGAAAGAGCCTAAGGGACATTTATTGTGTCTGATAACCTTAGATTTTTGGCAGCTTACACAGGAGCGTGCCCACTCCCTCACGTCTTTATTCATGCCAGGCCAGCAAAACCGTTCTGCTATAAGCTTGATGGTTGCACGAACACCTGGATGAGAAAGTTTGTGCAACGTATTGAAGACGTTGCGTCGATAATATTTCGGCACGATTGGGCGATCCCTACCTGTAGATGTGTCACAAAGTAAGGTTTCCTTACCTGTTCCCATCTGTTTGATGCGTAGTTTGAGGGTTGTAGACGATAACTCGTGCTGAAGATCAGTGTCTTCTTTTTGAAGCTGGGTGAGTTTAAGAAGGTCGATTCCTTGGAAATTATTCAAGGAAGTTATTCGAGACAAGGCGTCTGCAACTACATTGTTTGCTCCAGAGATGTGTTGGGTGTCTGAAGTAAACTGCGAAATGTAGTCCAGTCGTCGAGACTCATGAGGTGAGTACTTGTCTGAAGAGGAGCTTAACGAGAAAGTAAGAGGTCAGTAAAAAGGGTGAAATCACGGCCTTCGATATAGTGTTGAAAATGCCGTACAGCACAATACATAGCTAGGAGTTCCCTAGTGAATGTGCTGTACCTCGATTTGGTGTCTAGCAACCGTCTAGAGAAAAATGCCAAAGGTTTCCAGGCGTTGTTAACCCACTGTTGTAAGACTCCTCCGATTGCCGAGTCGGATGCGTCTACTGCGATGCTAATGGGTGCTTCAGTGCCCTGATGAGCAAGCATTGTTGCTTTAGCGATAAGTTCCTTAATTGTGGAGAATGCTTTTCGTGCGGTGTCGTCCAGATCGATCGATTTCGCATTTCCACGAAGTTGATCGGCAAGAGGCTTCATAAGTAATGCGCATTTCGGTATGAAACGTCTATAGAAAATTACCAGGCCGTAAAACGTGACTAATTGTTTGACCTTGGTTCTGAGTAATCCAAAATGGCCGCCACTTTGGTTCTAGGGGGTCGAATTCCTTGAGGGTCGATAGTGTGTCCTAGAGAGTCGGTTCCGATTTGGCATTTCTGAATGTTTACAGTAATGCCATGTTTTTGTAGTCGGTCGAAAACAAGATCCAGATGTTGGAGATGAGATTCTCTGTCCGGACTTGCTATTAGGCAGTCGTCAACATGCGCATGTAAGAAGTTGAGACCTCGACAAACGTCGTCTATAAACCTTTGGAATATTTGAGTAGCGTTTCTTAGACCGAAATGCATCCGCAAAAATTCATAGAGTCCCAATGGAGTGATGATAGCTGTTTTCGGTATATCGTCTGTAGCTATGGGGATTTGGTTATACGCTTCAACCAAGTCGATTTGCGAAAAGACAGTTGTACCTTTTGGTTCATGCAAGCTCATGTCAAATAATATTGGGGGGTTTAAAGCTGTAGCGGCTACTTTAATGTTTAAGGTCGAGTGCCGGGAAAACTAAAAGAGGTTAGGCATTACTAAATGTTGGAGATATTTAGTCTCAGTGGATTCCATCACATTTTTAATTTTGATTCACTATTATTAGGCTTTAACACTGCAACTTTATCCCGTGCAGTTAATTATGGTTCCTCCTGTTTATTCGGTCTCGACTATTCCCGATCTCCCCATTTTGGGGAAAATTTTTTCCGGTTTGGGTAAATTCTGGAGAAATCGCTGTAAAAAGCTTTGAAAATGTTACAAAGCCCACAAGATTTTCCCAGGTCTGGGGAAAATCTTCAAAAATTTTGAGGAATTTAGTGTTTTCCGCAATATTTCCACAGGAATCTTATAACACTTTGGGGTTTTCCCTCGAAATTTCTCCAAGATAGTAGAATTTAGTTGTGCATTCGTGTCATTAAAAGCCGTGATTTCGGTGCCTGTGGACACCCATTAGGTGGAAATAACTTATATTGTGAAACCGAGAAAAATAGCTTTTTAATCAAAGTTTTGCCCAAGCAACTTATAAGGTGGAAATAAAGGCTAACAAGGAGTAATTTAAGTGGAAATTCCATCAAAAGTAAAGATAAACAACAGGAAATCGTCAAAACTCCTTCTTGTTCTCCTGTCACGGGAAAATAATCCAGAATTTTCCTTCTTTATCGCTCTATTTGAAACTTCTCTGAATTGTTTAATTTTTGCTTCGATCCATACCGACTTGCCTATTTTCCCCTAAATACTCGCCTACTTTGCAACTGCACACTTGAATACATGCTTCGTTGGCCACCTTTTGCCTAACCTCAAATGTTTTCTGTTCACCTTTATTTCCGTAATAAACCATGCTATGACTGTAATCCACTACGTTAAAAAGTGACACATGGTTGAAGACACCTATTGACAAGAAAAACACTGTACTGTAGAGGGATATTAGTGACAGACACTCGAGCAACGATTGTTATGTATTTTCATCGTAAGTGCCAAGTGCTAATGTCATTTACGAAGATCTGCTAAATAAACTGCAGGTAATAGGTTATTAGTGAAGAATGTGTCGCTATTGATAAGTGCATGTGGAACCAAGCAGGCTTACGCAACATAAACTTCATTTGTTCATGTGTTTAAAATGCAAGTCGTTAATTCTGCACACGGTAAGAAAAAGCCTTATTAAAAAATAAGTTGGAGATAAAAAAAAAGCATTTCAATAGTAACGTCTTTCTTAAACTGTGGCGTTACTATTCCGAACCGAAAATAATCTCCATGTAAATTCTGAAGTTTAATAAACATTAAATTTACAATGATGTCAAACTGCCATAATTTGTTAAACAACGGTTAACCCGAAGTATAACTTACGGTTATGTTCTCTAATACTGAACGCTCCACCTATAGAACAGAAATGAGTGGTCATAACTTAAAATCAGTACATACATGTTCTTAGTTCCTTCGACGACACTCACATTTTGTCCCTCATGTCGTGAAAATACCATTGCGTTGCGATGTCATGCAGTTTACCAAGTTGTTGTTCATCGACGGATAAAGACAAAAAGCGATATGTTAGTGTGCATAATGGTTTAAAAAATGTTCGGCCACATCCATGTCAGTGGAATTGCACAGAAACATTTCTTTCCGTTCCAGTGCACCTCTACGAAATATTAATGAGATTACTGTACTGGCCTCTTTGGCTTCTCTTCGTTTAGTGGCAATGTTTTTGTCCGTAAAACTGCTGACACAGTAACCAGCAAAGTTGTTGGACAAAACCAATACGTCCTTCGCAGTCTGGAAACTATCTATAGGAAGTGATCATTTCTATGTTTGTAAGTTACCACAGTAGTGGATGACCTTGCACTTCAGGACTGGCCAATAATAATCTGTTCGGGCACTCTCCTGCAGGTGCATATCTACAGACAAAGTTGATTACACACAATCCACTTTTTAGCTGCAGTTAGAATCTGCCTCCAGCTTGGTGCGTCTATATGTACGAACTGCTTATTAGTCGGCTAAACAGTATATAAAAGGTAAGGAAATAGTTTAAAGTAATACTATCAACAGGAACTTGAAAAATGTATTCACATGAACCTATGTACCAATGGAACAGTTACCACATTATTAACATAGTTAATGGTGATACATTTACAGTCGATATCATTAATGGAAACTTATGTGTGCTCATGACTAACTATGGAGCACATAGATATTCCTATATTATTAGAAGGGAATGGTTCCTCGAAATAATCACATGGGTCGTTGAATAGTCTTAATCTAATTAGTCCATTTTTCCTTATATCAGTGACTAGCACAGGTTTTCCGTGTACTATTATTACATTATGCGGCGTAAATGAAGTCATTTTAGTTTTCTTACAGATAACTGTTTGGTTTCCGGGGTCAGACTTAACGACTGTTTTTAAATTAGTGGCGGATATACTAGCTTGCAGCCTACCACAGAAAGATATCTCGGCATACCTCTGAGCAGTTTGCTTTGCTACAGCATAACTGCTATGCACTGACTTCCTAATCTTCTTCATATAAGACTCAAATGGAAAGGAGGAAAAAGGGTTTAAATCTACATTTGCATGAACGTCATCAAGGAAGTGCTTCAAGAAATGCACGTTATAAACTAAGTTTCCAGGTCCACAATACCATTCATATTCCTTAAGAAAATTAAGTAAATCATTTCTGACCGAATCTGTTTTCCCTGCTATCTAATCTGGAATGCGCTAACAAACACTTCGCCAATACTGAACGTTTGAAATTCAGGTACAATGGTTGTGGTAAACAATGTTTAAGAATTACGGGGCCTAAACACAGAAGAGACAATCGACACTGTCGCTTTCCATACTGAGACGAACTCTAATGTCCGACATTTACGCTGAACGTCTGCAGGACTATATGCCACACAACTTGATATTAACTTATTTATATTCACAGTTACAGACTTGTTCATGTTTCTAAGTCCTTTGTGAGAGAAATCTATCCATAGATTGACTAGTTCCTCAGTTACACCTAATTATACCATGTGCATTGGATCTAAAGGGAATGTTAAAATCATATTAATGGCACGTGTTTCGAAATTAGAATGCCCTTGATCGTAAGTTGATTCAAGCCTCTGACAAAAGCTATCATCAGTTCTCAACGTACATTCACTATTTGGAAACATCATCCTTCCGTCAAGGCACCGACCAACTACAACACACCTATCACAACTTGCTTTCTCATTGTGACTAACTGTACGTAGCATCCAAGCGAGCAGGTGTGTCACAGATTACAGCGATCAGTTTAACAGCTATGTATTTATTGAACTTAAAACTACACAACCTACGTCGCTCATTTCTTTCACTTCAGAATGCTGTCCGCAGATACTTCGTTAAATTCAGCCGGCCTAGTATTCCCTCCATAGATACCTATCATGAAGACGTCACTAAACTTAGGGGCAACGATGCGAGGACAAATAGCTGTTAGACCACTAGAGATGCTGGTCGCATTATAAATGCTTTCTGAGATCTTGTACCGGATTTACCAAGAAGCACTAGAAGTGTCTTACGAATGTGCACAAGTCAATAATTGTGGCTTATTTTAGGACGCATCGTTGCTCCTCTCAAATTCATTGTAGTTGATTTTGTTGCCCAGTTCTAAATTTAGTCGGCAACAAATTATCTCATGTATTACGCCTGCGTTCTCTCAGTGTGGTGCAAAAGTCACTACAGTGTCTTTTTGAAGTTATTGACATTCATTTTGATGACTAGTTATTTAAAGCTAATTCAGAAAACAGTACTCTTCAGTACTAGTGTTTTTCAACTTTGCAATCGACTCCATGCTGTTTTCATCCTAGAAATGCATAATATGATGAGTATTCGCGATTATTTGCACTTAATTATGTGTCTGAAGGTTTATGTAAAGTTGTTTCTTTACCGGGTTTGCTAGATTTTGATCGTTTTCTTGTCACTATTCAAGTATTTTGTCTATGTTGAATAAGAAAACTTTATTTTACAGCTCGAAGTTCTCTATTCCAAATGTCAATGAACTTTGGATAGTACTTTTGACAATTAGTAATGGCGGACAAATGTTGATCCTATAGAAAGCAATAATCTGAGCATGGATAGTTCGACTTTATACCAAAAGTTGTCAAGATATCTACCTTATTCTAAATGCAGAGTAAGTACATGAGTGATCTTTTAGAAATATATGATCGCAGAATGAAGGTTGCAAATGTAGTACATGGAAGCTCTCAGACAGTACGATGGATGAAAAACTTGTTGAAGCTATATGTGAAAATTGCTGTCATGTTCATTATAGCTTGTCTGATCCAAACGAGAGCACGTGGCTTAATAGTGCAATGCAAATGGTCGACGATGTGGAACGAATGTATATTTTATGTACCAAGGAAGAAGATTATGAAACAAGAAATATATATTTCTGTATTTTAAAGGTAAGACATCTTACAATCATCATTCCAATCTCATTTCTAGCGCCTTCGCAAGGCGTTAATGAATAAAGTACAACCCGTTTTTGATGACAAACCTCCTTTCGAGCGACCTGATATCAATACAGTAAGTATATAAAATGCGAATTCCACTTGATTCTCCAACTTTTAAAAGGCTGTACGAAACGCGTTATTATTCTGTGCTGTCACTGATCCTCAAAATCCAGAAATAACAATTGAACTGTGTAAATTATTCCTAGCATATGTGAATTCATATAAGATCACATATCCAAGTCAAAGGATTCAGAAGTATGAAAATAAAACAGGATACAAATTAATATATATGAGGTATTTTGTATTGTATATATATACTTATTTGACTCCTTTCAGGTGGATATGCCACTGTTATGTGCCAAAGTTCTGTAATGCCTTACCATATACTGAGGCTACATGTGCATTTGGAAAGAATTTCTTGTTAGCCGTTTTGCCTGAAATTAAAAGAAGACTAATCGAATTTTTCAAACAAGATTCTATAATCCCGTCCATGCTAGATGCAAAGATACATTTAATACAACCTTTAACACGGTAACTAGCAATCATTTGTCGTCCTTAAATTTTTAGTGCTATCCTACTCATTGGTACTTCATTCCCGTTCTAATTATTTTCTATTCAGACTGTGTAATTTGCTGGAAGATAATGTTGAGGACAAAACAACTTCCGTCTGGGATCCGTATTTCCAACCACCATTGCGTCCCGACAATGTAATTACACCAAGCGGATTATTACAGTCGATTTCTATTGACCACGTGGTCGATTTCTCTACACATCAACGTAATATAATCATCAGTAGTTCAAGTGAACTGAAAAGTGATTCAATTGTTACACCAGCTCTCACTGATCTAAAAGCAGAGAAACTGTTTAGTAATCCAGATTTGGTGAATGGTGATAAGGATATGGTAGTTAATACACCTATTAAGTCTGAACCTGAAGAGTCACTTACAAAACCTGCCAAAGTAACTGATCATACAACGCACCGAAGGACAAGTAAGTGTTAGTAAATTTTCATTGAAGACAGTCACTTTTTTATTTGAATCTTTACGCCTGATCTGACTTCAAGCCCAATTTCTAGTCTGTGATTTTCATTTATCTTATTTCCTGTTTGGAGATTGTGTAGTTTTAGTGGGTTTAAATATCTTTATTCTGAATATTCCCATTGTTGGTATTGCCGGATCTTTAGCAAATAAAGACCTAAAGCACATAATTTATCCGTTAAACCCTTGGACTCACTTATAAACCAAAGTTGTGCGATGCCAAGCAGTATTTCGGGATACAATTGAAAAGAATGGTCTCTTGATATGTTTTTACTTGTAAGCATACTATGGTTTGTGCTACTTATACTGACAGATATAAGTAGTATTTAGTAACAGTCATAAGTGGAACTGCCTGGAAGCAGAAAGTTGAAATGAAGAGAACAGGACGATAATCGGAGAGCAATCAAAATAACAACGGGACTAGAGAAATAATGGAACATGTAAAGGACAACGCAGAGATGTGTAAATGATGTATTTAATGTATGATTTTCACATTTTACTAAGCCACTGTGTTTTTTCATTAAACAATAAATTGGTTTTCCCCGCCTGAGTTCTCGTTCATTACAATACTTCTTTTTGGTCAGTACCAAACAAAACACTTCAACATTTATGTTTCTATAAAGGCTTCCTAAATGACTAAAAGTTATAATTCACTTGCCATAAATCAAACAAACTGCCATTCGGAGTCTCTGTGTCAACTGTTGATCATGTCTATTGAAGTCATGGAGCTATCATTGCTGAAGTTAAGCGTAGTGTGACACCCTGATGTCTTAGGCCGGTTATTATACGAGTAGAATGGACAAAAGTCATAGTTAACTTGCGCACCATGGCCAGTCGTAATCGTTGATGAGACCTCAAAGTTTGCTATCCAGTGCATCAGTTTTTTTACCACTGTTGCTACTGTCATGTTCTTCAGTGAATAGCTACGGGTCATCTAGTAAATCTGTCGATATATGTTAGCAAGTGTGTATACCCTCTCAAAAGTGGTAGCGGTCCCACAACCTGAATATGAATATGATCAAACCTTGCTTTTGGTGAGGGAAAGACTCCTGTAAACAACATGGTGTACCTGTGGATCTTCAGTTTCTGGCACTATATATATTCTCCCTCTCATTTTCGTGAGTCTCTATTTGTATTTGACCATATAAATTAATCTGTAATAAGCTTTACTGTTTCTCTAATACCTGGGTAAGATAAGTTTAGTTTTTCAAAAATACTTCGTTTCATGCTGTAGGGTACAAGTGGGCGAGTTTTACTTGTCGAAATATCATAAGTCAATGCTTTATTTTCATTCGCAGAAAGTTTCGAAATGTTAACGTTGTTTTCTTAGGTTCCAAAAGTCTATTTAACTCATTATTGAGCTTTTGAGGTTTTATCGTTTCTTGATAACTTGTGTCAGGGATTGTGAAAACGTTAATATCTGTACTTGATAGCCCATCTACGCAGTCGTCTTCCTTCCCTTTTACATATTATATGTCGGTAGTAAACTGCAATGAAATCGAGATGTTTTAATTTCCTTGGAGAATAATTGGTATGACCGTTTACTACTGCTTATAATCGGTACAAACCATGAACTATGTGTTTTCTATTATGTATCAAAAATGTTTGATAGATAGATTACCAACAATTCCCGACTAAACATACTATAGGGTGTTTATCTTGGATTGAGTCTTGTAGTCTGTTGGTAATATAGGCTTGTACAAATGACAGTCCATGATGTACTTGGTCAATATACCTTTCAAAATAGTAAATATATTTTTCTGTTGTAAACCGATGAGTAGAAAAATTATATTTCCGACATTTCGTGACTTGACATAAGCCGATTCTTCAGAGTAAATAAATAACCGAAATAAATCAACACAAGTTTAAATAGTCAGAAATACAATTTTTCTACTCATTGGGTTATAACAAAAAATACATTTATTATTAACCTTCTACCAATGCTCAATTTATTTGAAACAATCAAGTCCATCCTTGGCATTGATATCTATAAACCACTTAGAAGTTTGCTGCCTTAGATAATCCGAACAGCATTCTTACAAGTTTGAATAAACCAAACAGTAATGTAATTGCTATTTTTGGAACTTCTTTTGGCGCTACAGGGATGTAGTGATATCTTCGGACTAAGTCAGTTTTGGTGAAAATAATATTACCAACCATCTTTTTGTTGCAATTATGAATGTGCGGTATAGCGTATCTATCCACACGGGATGATTGAAGGTTGTACCATGCCCCACCCGTTCACCTTGTCAGTTTCTTCTTTTGCTATAACACAACGTTTAAGGTCTAGGGGTCTTCGACGTTAAAAAAAGGGCGTCCTTTAGTGTCACTATGGCGTACCACACTATCTCAAACCCTCTCGTTTAAAAGTCTGTTGAAATAAATTAGGAAACTGACAGCAAATTAGTATACTCGTCAGCTGCACGCTGTAGTTTAACTGGTAAATGCATAGACGTCTCAGTAGGCACTCTCCATTAGTTCGACCTTAGGTCGACACGTACAAGCTTCTGGTTTTCAACGTTTACGAGTATTTTGTCGGATGACAGAAAATTAACGCCCATTATAATGGTTAGTTATGTAGATGAAGTATGGATTCTACTCAGATCGTAAGTGACATATTGAAAAAAGCATAACACCTGTTACCCATAGTGTGGAGCACAGGCCACTGACCAAGACTGTCCAACCAACCATGTCCCGCGATATCCTTTCCAGTTTTCTCCAAGTGCTATTCATTCATTTGATGTCTGCCTCCATTTCCGATACACTATATTATTTGGTCTGCCTCTTTTGCTTTTGTCTTCCGGAACCCAAGTTACGGATTTCCTAATGATACACTTTGATGATCTCCGCAATGTTTATACAACCCACCCCCGGCATCTTTTCTTAATTTTCAGTTTAACTGAAAGTCGATTGGTTCTTAGCCATCTGCGGTTGTTGCTTATGGTATCTAGCCCAAGGACATTGAGTATCTCGTGTAGATAATTGTTTATAAATACTTGCACATTTAAGATGACGGTCGTAGTTCTGCACGTATCCACTCCTTACAGTAGAACCGTCTTTACGTTCGTATTGACTTGTGGCTCTGGTTTATAATATTTCACTGCCAGTTGCTTTGTTGTATCATATAGTAGTTGTCTCATATTTCCTTGTGTTGCAGCCTTTTCCGCTGTCATTGCTAAGTGTTCCACGTATTTCTGCTTGTTGATTGTAATGCTCCTCTTCACTCTCTTGTCTGATTCTGTGTATTCAGTCTGTGCTCTGACTGTCTCTGCTGTTGTTCAGCTGTTACTAATTGCTGTCTTCTTGTTCTTCCTTTCTTGAATGTTGTCCAAGGTATCAATAAGTATCTGTTCCTTATGATGGTGCTTGTTGCGGCCTAGAACCTGTTTGAACTGTGGAGTTAGTGCATCTTTGATCCGTTTCCAGTTGTTCTCCATCGTAGTCTCCTCTTGTTTGAGTAGATGCTGTAGTACTTGTAACCTGTTGTTGAGTTTGTCAGTATGTCGAAGGAAGGCTGTATTGAACATTTATAATGCTGTTTCTCTAGTTGTCCAGTAGTTCTTTAGCTTGAATTTCATCTTGGCAACCACCAGGTAGATGGTGATCTGAAGGTGTGCAGCTCGTCTCTTTGCTCTCAAGTCTCCCATTGATCTTCTGAACTCTTTATTGACGTAAATACGATCGATCTGATTCTGTGCAGTGTGATCCTCCGGTAAGACCCATGTAGGTTTGTGTATACGTTTGTTGAGGAATACAGTACCACGTACAACCATTCAATTGAATGCAGATAATTTTGCAAAGATCTCACCGTTTTAACCCCTTCTTCTCAGTCAGTCCATGTCGTTGCATAATATCTTCATAGTGAGTGTAGTCCGACCCGACTTTGCATCTAAGTATCCAATCAGGATGGTTAGGTTCTTTCGCAGTCACTTCTCTACGGTCGACTGAAACCTCACGAAGATGATGTTTATCGCCTTCATTGCTATCATTGGTGAGTGCACATTACTGGATAACATTGATTGTGTTCACCTCGTTCTATGATTTGAAGAATGCTTTGGTGATTCTGGATCATGAGATACCCATTGTATGAGTGCTTTTCGTGCTTCTTTGTAGAGCATCAGTGCAACTCCTTGTGTGTGCAAAGCATTTTCTTCTTCATGAACAAAGCACACTGCATTACTGAACTTATTTGGATATATGCTTGAATTTCTGTACTTTTTTGTGTACCTAGTCCGATTATAAACAAGTATTTGCTCTTTTCATATACAGTCGCTTTTGGTGGAATTCAACGTTACTTGTTGACATGGATGGAAACTCACTTTGTCATGGATTTAAAAAAACTATTGTGAAACATAGATATATTTCATTCTGTAACTGTTGATGAAAACGTTATTATGTGAGCTGCTGAAAGTTTTTTTTTTGTACTGCATCCAGGCTAATTTTTATTTCTTTTCTATTTTTAATCATAAAATAAACATTTAGGCGTACGTCTTCGGAGTCAATTATCGCTTAATACACAATCTTCTGTGAGTGATTCAGAAAAGTCGAACTGTAAATCAGAAGACAAAACTGTGGTCACCGATAGCAATACTAAAAAGTCATTGAATGATAAGTTAAATATTTCAGATGTTAGTAGTACAGAATTAGAACAAATTCTACAAGAAATGAAAAACAGTGAAAGCCCTTGTAAAGGATTTTATCCTTTTCAAACGGTAAACCTCAAACTTTATTCTTATATTGTTCTTTTTAAAATTTGTTCTAGGTATTCATATTCTTTTTTACTCCTTCTTTGCATCTATACACAAATACTACTTTAATGTTTTATTTGTAAGTGAACTCTACAAAGTTAACAGTAATGAATAAGCTCAAAGCAAACATGAGTGATCAAATCTTTCATATACTGTGTTCATTTTTTGATTTCCTGTTACAGCCATACTGGATAATGTCGTGCCCAATAAACTATGATTATGTCTGTGTTCTTAGTGCATAAATATGTAATGGAATCATGTACGTACGTACGCAGTTCTACGTTGTTGACTGACTGACTAGAGTCATGCTTTCAAACATTTTCCATTCTCTTCGCCTTAACTATATAACTAGTATCATTAATCATCATCCAAAAATATTACTCATTATATCTTAAAAGAAGTCAGCACTAAAATTCATATGTTGTTGGACAATGTTAGTATTTTACAAATTAACTGATATTTACACACCTATTTCGTTCATGATTGTGTAAAAGTACACATGTACTAATTTTCTTAAAATCAATCACTCAGACTCAGATACTCAGTGAAAAATCATAACTTCAAAATCGTGTTGAATATCCACTTTCATGAATTCAGCATACAGAACTGTTTTATTCGCTTGTGGTGTGTATTGTAAATAATAACAACCTCTTGTAGAAATAAATTATTTATCTGTTTTGTTATGGTGGTGAAATGCTTAATTGGTTTATTTATTCAATTGTGGATTGTCTCTTTCTTTCTTGATAATTTGTTAGCTTCATTCGTTAAACGCAACAAGAGATGCCGCTGCACGTCAAGAAGAATCAGCCGGGAATATTGAATTTCATATAGTTAATAATAGTTTAAATCCTAATCAACCTCCACAAACATATATTTGGCTTTTGGAGTTATTAAATGTATTTGCTTTGCAATTACCTCGTATGCCAAAGGAATACATTGCACGACTTATTTTTGACCCGTAAGTTTGTATACGTGATATTCACAATTGTTGTTTTTTACTTTCTTTGATGGGTTGTTTTCCCGACTCAACTATTTCGAAAGATATACTCTTTTTTGTCAACTAAACTATTATTCATAAATTCCAATATTGAATAATTTAACTGAAATGTATTTTAATTTTATGTACTTCTTAAAATAATTTTCTAGATGTATCTCAGTGGTTTGAGGATTCTTCTTTCAACTATTGGATCACAATCCAGCGTCATTGTTTAGAGTTAAAACAGTCTATTAGTAGTACTATTTCTCATACAGCAAGTCTTTTGAGTCGGAGTTTGGTCTAGTTAAATGTTATCTTACATTTGCGATTATTCCTTCCAACTAAAAAAAGTGTAGTCTTCCAATGTGACAAGACTGAAATTTGTCATCAAAAGTCGTGAAGGTTCTGTTATAATCATATGTTTAATTATTATACTCTAAACAATTCGCTCAATTAATGTCTTACGACGGTATAAAAAGATATTTAAGCAGGAATGTTATTGTTTTGTTTGCATGAATTATCATGTAAAGCCTGTCAATCAGTATGTGATTCAGTCAGTCAGTCAGTAACAACGTAGAACTTAGTACGTACATACATCAGCTCAAGTTGCCACACCACATTAGCACTGAGATGCAGTTGTCGATTCAAATCCCGTTGTGGTAGAGATAGTAAGAGTATAAGCAGTAATCGGGAAGATTAGTGTTTGGAGATGTTATTCAAGGAGTATAATCCAGTGAAATAAATTTGGAAAGAGGAATAAAGAGACAAAGATGATTCAGGAGATTAGAATTTGGGAGAACACAGAGTGGATGCACCTGCACCATTACAAACGATTTTGAGCCATGTCATTCAGAGTCTCTAACCATCGGTTGCTATCATCTCGCGGTCCCCAACCAGGTAGTCTACACCTACCAACATGACTCAGGTTACTTGTCAGTGACTTCATGGATTTGCGCCATGTTTTGGTCTGGTCACCCCTAGTTTTCTTCCAACCTACTGCTATACCACTGAACATCGCACGTCGAGGCAGTCGGTGGTTGGGCATACGTAACACGTGTCCCAGCCATCTCAACTGATGAAGTTTCACTACTTCATCAATTGATTTGCCATCCTTACCTAGTACCCGTTTCCTAACAACTCCGTTACTTACTCGATGGTCCCATGATATATGAGCAATGTTTCGAAGACACCTATGATCAAGCATGTGATTAATTATCAACCAAGTCATTAGTATATTTATTACCATATCGTGACTTTTCACTTCGATGTATTTATTTATTTATTTTATTTATTTGAACACATATATATTAGTACAGGAGTGCGCCAAATATATATGCGCCACACAAAACAATGAGAATTTAAGAAGAAGAAAAAGAAAAAAGTGGGGAACGTAAAAAAATATAAAAAAACAATAACGAAGAGATTGGTGTAAGGTAGTGTAATAATAATAGTAATAGTAGGGGAACAGAAGGGTACAATCAGAAGAAATCTTTCAGTTAAGGAAGATACAACCACGTTTTATGAAGAAGGTAAAGGAAGGTTACAGCATGATTGCCACTGGCTTCTATTCCGAGCCATATCCGATAACGTCTCTGGCCACTGTGTTGTACCATCTCTCGGACCTCAACCAGGGAGTCGTGGAGGACCAACACAAGCCAGCCCTTTGCAGCTTTCTTTCATACCACGACACCATGTCATATACTGACCACCTCTCCACTTTTTCCAACCAGTTCTAGAGTCGGTAAATAATGCACGACGTGGAATTCTCTGGGACGACATTCGGAGAACATGTCCAAGCCACTGAAATCGGTGTTTCAAGATGGTAACACCAATTGCATTATCATCTCTGTTCCCGAACACACGATGCCGAATCTCTGCATTACTAACATGGTGTTGCCACCAGAAGAAAACCAGTGCTTAAAAGCGGGACGTTTCGCAAACTCACAACTGACTGTACCCGCCATTTTCATGGCGTCATGCAATTGCAACCAACGCTCATCTATACTTTTCGGTGGAATGGTAGCTAGCCTAGAAGCTAGCTCGGTTCGATACTTAGTTGCAACCATCTTGCTGACACCAATCCTTTGGTGGCGGTCACTTCGTTGGCCACTGAAAAATAAGGTAAGATTGGCACAGACCAGAGCATGATCAGAGTCCAGATAGGTACTCCAAAGGGAGCGGCAGTCTTGTACACAACCACGCCAGCGGTAGCTGATCGCGATGTGATCAATCTGAGTCCAGGCTTGAGATGCAGAGGGAGGACGTTAGGTGGCACATCGGCAATGACTGTGCCGAAAGTTGATGCTAGCCAGAAACAGGTTGTTGTTTGTGCACAGTTGCAGTAGACGGTCCCCGTTATCTGTCCTGCGACCAACAAGTCCCCATTGACCACCTAAACGACTCTCTTCTGTGTCTAGACGCCCGACCTGAGCATTCAAGTCTCCGGCTAGTACTACAATATCTGTCGAACGCACTTTCTGGAGAAGAACAGATAACTGGTGGTAAAACTCATCCTTGATTGCATCTGGGCCGCAATCTGTCGGGACATAGGAGATGACGCAAAGACATCGTTTCTCACGCCGATTTCTTCTCACTTTGATGGAACTCTCTAATCTAACAACACATAACCGACTGTTAATGGGGATCCAGTCGATTAGTGCTGCCTCAGCTCTAGCGCTTAGTGCGACACCAACGCCAGCAAGACCAGACGAAGATTGAACAGGGTCCTCGGATAAACGCACGTAAAACAAGCTTTTCGAAGCGACAGATGTAGATCGAATGTGTAGTACTTCACCAGAGTCTTGAATCCGGGTCTCGGATAGACAACAAACATCAATATTAAGACTTTCCAAAGACATAGCCAGCCCTATCTGTTGTCCGACCTGCATAAATGTGCGAACGTTGAAGGCAGCCAGTTTGAATGGTGCACGTGGTTTCAGAAAAACTGCTTCAGTACTCATATTCGGTGGTAACGTACAATTTTCAACCAGCCAGTGACTCGAGAACGTTTAGATACATTCGAATTTCCACCATAGACGAGCTGCTGTATAAGCCGAAAAAAATAAGTATAGACAGAGTAGGAATAAAAGAGGGTGAATAATGACGTAGTAAATAATAATAATAATAATAATAATAATAATAATAATAATAATAATAATAATAATAATAATAATAATTGAATCATTTGAATGTTCGTCGAAGCAAGAGAATTAGTTTCCATGATCATAGACAGTTCAGTTCATTAATTGCGTGTGGGCTGCGATGCTGCCCGGGTGCCCAGACCGAAGCAGGTGGTTATCTTAGGGGGCTACACCCCGAGCCTTTGACCTAAAGGTCTAACCCACAAGGCAGTGGAGCATCGTAAGGAGATGCAGTCCCGTGGTAGCCGGTGACCAACGATTGGTTCATACTCCATTTGTTCCCGCAGGATACTGGTACCCATGTGCACCATTGATTTGGAATCCGGTTAAAGCGCCGGACATTCGCTTTTTGTCCTCTCATTTTCGTAAACAACACCCCCGCCACGAGAAGGCAGTGAGTAGGACTTCCCTGGCAGAGGCTGTATACGCGCGGCCGTGTGAGTGTATTTCGAGAGGGAGGGCGAGCCCATCCCGCTCTCGGCCATACCAGGGCATTTGGGGGCCTTCGATGTATAATATGTTCAGTACATCCAAATCGTTATTACTGTTGACTTTCATTTATATTTAGTCTTTTGTTTCATTTATTTCACATGTATATACAGAAAACACAAAAATCTCATTTTGTTAAAAGTTTCGGATTCATGTGAAAAACATGCTATCGGCGGGATCTGCTTTCGTATGTTTCCATCTCAGGGATTTACGGAAATAGTGTTTTGTGCAGTAATTTTCAATGAACAAGTAAAAGTGAGTCATATATATATAAACTTAAATTCAGTACATTATTTACTTATCAGCTTCTAAGTAGTATTGTTTCTAAACTATTGAATGCAAAAATTTGCTTATTTATGCTTCGTCGTAATCATTAACATAAACAAGTTTCATAACGATAATAAAAGTAGCGATAACTAATACAAAGAAGTAAATAGTTCAAAGTAGAATGGCAAATGATTTTGTGGGAGATTTAGACATTTCCGCAAAATCTCATTGGTAACTTCGCATTGATCATTTATGTTAAAACTGTAGAATTTCCAAATGAGTAGTACCAATATTAATTCAGTATAGAATGTGGTCTATATGCCCAACGACCTATCATAATCTGCTGTACTGGCCTGAGTAGGATTTAATTGATATGAATTGATAATTGACAAACTGAGACTTAAAATGAATCACGAATCCTATGACGGTTGCTGTTATCTGTGTAATAAATTATTCCCTACTTAACTGTCATCTATGTTATAAATCAGTCAATAGTTGTAGACACTTAATTCAATACCCAGAACCAATCATATATATTACAGGTAATATTTAATTCGTATCTTGTTTTAGATCTCCAGTACATCATTATCATTCATCTACTTATTTCTGTCCTTAATTTCTATCTATAATGTTCATTATTTCCTTCCGTTTTTATTGACTGTTCCTATTCTACCAATAAGTAGTGCGTATTTCATGTCTTCGAGTTTCACTAAATCGCTGCTATAAGGCCTATTCTCGAACTAGTGAAACTTGTATCTGAATTTTTGTGATTTGGAAGAGTGTTATTAAGAATTTAGTTTTAAAGAGACTGTCGATATACAATGAATATTTCATGCAAATACATTTTACTGCGTGTAAATTTTTTGGCATGCTCATTGATTATCTATTGTTAAAGTTAAATACAAAGAATAAATTTGATTAGCAAAACTCAGCGTAATATATAATAGGGAGGTTATAGATAGCTTGCTTTGTTACAATACTGACTAACCTACAGCCTTTATACAGTATCCATTTTATTAGATCATAGAAATCATGAAATTCGGTGATGTGTTGGCAATTGGTACCAGTGACGTTAATTGTCATATGTTGGTGACATAAAAATAGTAATCAACTAAAACACTTGATTAATATCGAATTACTGATTAAAGAATTTAAACACATCAATTGAATTAATTTATCAAAAATCAATTTCTGTGACTCCTGGCAATAAATCTTATAATAATTGAAAGATGTGTATTCTTTGTCAGAAATATTTTACCTATAAAATCTTAGATTGTATAATAAGTAACATGGACCTCTATATCTGCAATTCAACTGCTCAATATTATTTATTATTGATAGAAATCTAGTTATTTAGTGTCATAAGTTTCATATTTCAATAAATAATATACTAAAATTGTATTTACTTATATTTATGACAAGATTTTCTCTCTTCTTTTTCAAGGGTTATGGAACACAAATGATGAATCATTTAAAAGATTATCATTTACAGCATAAAATATTTCATTTTCTTACATATGCTGATTCATTTGCCACTGGTTATTTTAGAAAGCAAGGATTTTCACGTGAAATACGCTTAGCTCGACAAGCTTATTTAGGTTATATCAAAGAGTATGAAGGTGCCACATTAATGGGTTGTGAATTATATCCAAATATTATTTATACTAGATTTTCTGAATTGATCGCAAAACAAAAACAGGTATCTATTGTTGTTGTCACTGTTTGATTCATTTTTTTTTCTTGAGTCTGTATAATTGTAACTTGTTTTCCAAATTGAATGAAAGTGACATATTCCTAGTAAATTTTGAAATAGTGTAAATCAAATTTCATTTGCCATTATTCTAAAGAAGCTACTGAATGGTTAACTCCAAACTTTCGAAAGTTATATAGTTGTATTCATTACCTAGGGTACATCTTATAAAAGATAATAATAAGACATTTACTTAATATTATTCAGATAATAATTTTGGCTCATTATTGAATACTTGAATATATGTATATTGTTGTAACGGGTGGACTGCAGGTTAAATAGAGCAGCGTATTTATCGACCGATTCAGTGACACGTAAAACACGTACGGACGACCTAGAGTCCCGATCGGTCCTGCTTCTCTGTCTAACCTAGCCAGCTGAGTCCAGAACACAAGTCACAGCCTCTGAGATATGAATCATTGGATTTCAGACATACTCTATTTATATACCAACCAAACAGACCACATCGTACCATAAAAATAGAAAACAACATCTGTACAGTATTTAACGAGTGAAATAAATAATGGCCAATAGGGAATGTCCATTTAAGGTCCAAGGACATCATTAGACTTAACATGATAATGATTGGTATATTCTTCTGCATCCCTAACATATATAATATTGTTGAATTGTACTGGTCTGTTTGAAAAAATCAAACCATTAATCATATACCATTAGTTTACCACCAACTGCATTTCGGTTTATGTGCTGTGGTGATTCGCACAGAATTTCTCTTCCTCTCACCAATCATCATCCACATTGAAACATTTCGACAATTACCAGATTTGAAGCACTCACTCGCATTGCAAACATGCTTGCTTGTGTATAATTCACTGGATACATAAATCAATTTAGATTTACGCTTTCATGTATTAACTAACACGGAGTATTGAATGTGCATGATTAGTGCTTTAATTGCATGAGTTTTTGTAGTTATGTTAATGAAAAAGTTTATAATTATTCTGTTTGTAAGGGGTTGTTTATTTTTCACCTGTCATTTCTACGTGTTTATTTATTTCAATACTTTTAAGGTTCTGTGTTCAGTTTACGAAAGTGTTCTATTTTGTGATATTCGGTGGTACTTCCGAATTACAAATGGTTGTGATATTCTAATTTTAATAATACAAGTTTTTTTGTATGATGTTATTGTATAAGTATAATATGATTGTATTTTTGGAAGACAATTTTCTGAGACACTAACGAATTGATATGATTGTAACACTGATTTAGTCGTTTCCTTTCATGATTCCTTCTTAATTATTTGATAAAGAGTATCATAGGAAAAAAACGTACGTTTCGTGATTTTATCATGAAGTTCTACCGTATCTTTAAACATTTTGTTTCGTGAATATTTTCTTGTGAACTTTAAATCTGTAAAACATCATTCGTGATACGAGTTTGATAATTTCACTTGAATGATAATATCTTGTAAATTATTTAATATTTATTTGATAGGTTATTACCCGGTTGATAGAAAAACGTCGTGAGTCTGTTAATCAAACCTACCCAGGAATACCTGCCAAACTATTTCGTAATGGACCTTTAAGACCAGATCAAATCCCCGGTCTAACTGAGATCGATCTAACTTCAAACAAATTTTCTGATTTATTTCATAAAATTCCTAAAACAGAATTATCCGAAACCAATCAAACTTCCATAAATAATCATGTTTCAGTAAAGCGAAAATCGTCAGAAACGTTTGGTAAATGTGTTGAGAAATTACACGAGCCTCCGAGAAAACTACGCAAACGTTTACTAGATCCTTTGCCAAGTCCCAGTCCGTTGACTACAAAGCCACAGATGAAAGCAAGAATCAGTTCAAGGTCAACGCGTTATAATAGCTCATTAAAAATGTAAATTTAATTTTCTAACTTATAGGAAATACAAACAATTGTAACGTTTCGTTTTCTAATTTAAATTATTAAAACCATTTTTATCATCTCGGCATATAGAATGGCTATATTTACTAATATATTAGAATTTCATATATTTAGATGATTTTTATCGTTAATTAATACTCATTTAAAATGTCTAATGCACTACCATAGAAGTAAAAGTTCCACAAAATTCACAATGTAACAATGTCTTTTCCTAGTAATAAGCATGTTCAATCTCAGTAAAAATTCTTGTCATCTCAAAATACTTTCGTCAAATAATTAGTTGCCAAGATTATTACAGACAAGAGTGGTGATTTCATATTTTCTCACTAGAATAATTAAATTACTAAAATTGTTAAGATATCATTTAATCTTCAGATTGCTCGGCAGAAAAAACTTGAAAGGTTAAATTTATCTTTTGGTGATTTACGCTGTCATATTTCGTTTTAGCGTAGAAAAATAAGATCAACATAATAAATAGTAAAGAAGTGAGAGTCATAAGGCCAGAACTAATGGAGAATCCTAATAAGAAAGATGGCAGAAGAAAGGATTATAAACATGGAATAAGGTAATGTCTCAGACTAAAACGAGAAGAAAAAATAGATACAACTGTTCACATTACTGTAGTACTTAGTCTTAAAATAAGTACTATCGATAAAGAAAATATTGATTACAAGAGTATTTTACCCTTGATCTGGATCATCATCACAGTTAAGTTTACGAATCGTCTTTACAGTTTTTATGTGTTTTCTATTAAATTGATTGTTTATCGAATCATCGTGGAAATATGATCTAGTAGTTTTAAAATACGATTTCCAAAATGCGTCTATTTTTAAAATCATTCTCTATATGCATCTCTTCAATCACACAATATTTTTAGTTTTTCAGCCATTGATACAACTGAACTCTCGTTACTTAAGCTTCTGCTAGAGATAACTAAATGGGATTAGCTTGATATTATTGTCGGTTAGCTGATTGTTCAGTCTTGTAACAGTTGTGATTCAAAATGAGTGAATTTCAAATCACTACTTGACACTATAACAGTTGTATAGACGTTTAAAAAAACCAGTTACTCAAGATACCTCATTTTTCATGAACATGGATGTTTTCCACTTGTTTATGATAAAAATCAAAGTCAGCTTCTACATAAGAAAAACGTTAATGATATTTGGAACGACAGTAAAAGTCCCACAAATAAGGGATCTAGCTCAGAGAATCCAATAACACTAAGATAATTCAAGAAACCTCATCAAGTTTAAGGGTTTTTTTTTAAAAAAAATCCTAGCTAATCTTTTATTTAGTGGTTAAATAGTTCAGTTATATATTATCCTCTCCTAGTCAGCCTTCAATTTTTCCTTCAAGAAAAGAATGTTAACTTTTTGAATTACATTTAAAACACACTTATTTTTGGTTAACCAATTATTAATTATAATTTATTTAGATCAGATTCATTGGAACCTGTTTGGATACAAGAGGCTAAACAATTAGCAGAAAAAATTCGTCCTATCCTAAATGCATTACGTAGTCATATATTGGCTGGTCCTTTTCAAAAACCTGTTACATTAGATGAAGCTCCAGATTATTATGATATTATTGTTTTTCCAATAGGTAAACAAATTTCAATTTATTCATCTCATCATGTTTACTAAACTAGTAGCGATAAGTAACATATGTTCTTAATAATTGTAAATAATTCTTGTTTTATTCTCATTTTATGTTTTCTAAAATATTTTTCATGCAAACTTAATAATAGTCCAAACATTTACACTTTTACATATAGATTATGTAATTCTATGCAGCGTAGATCCTGCTAAGATTGTAACTATTTAGTAGAAATCCATGAACTGTAATGAATTCACATTATTCAATTTGAGTTATTATTCTCGTTTTATTAACCATTTTAACGAGAATAATTTCTTAACTCTATTCAAATTGTCTCACTTGATCGAATTTTTTATTTCACTGGAGAAGAATAACCTATCTATATGGCATGTTACCGGTTCGACATATTTGTAGGTACTAAATCTAGGCGCATAGTCTATTTGTACTTACAGTTTGTTAGATTTTCAATAGAAATTTATTGTATATATACTTACCTTTTATGAATAACTGTTTGTATCTATCATTTTAAGTCACATTCGATAACTAACATATCCAATGTTGTCATGTTACATGACGTGAAAAAAATAAAGGTTGATATTTTGAATAAAACAGTTCTATTGTTATCGCTTGTGTTTTTTTGATAGTTATATTCATTTTAAGAGTTCTCTATTATATTTTGAATTTAGAAGCCTAGAAAACATTAGCCCTGTTTGTACAATGAAAACAGATGTTTCTCTGGGCTACAATTAAAGATATCACCAACATAAAACTAATATAGTTATTGTTACTAGTTGACGAAATAAGATTAGCTACTCTGTTATATTCTTTTACTTTTAATATAGACCACAACTGATCATCATTCGTTAAAGGGAAATTTTTACCTTACTCTGAGAAATCTCAATCAGATTTCGATATATATGATATATCATCTGACTACTCTTGCAATCAAGTTTTCAATTTAATTCTTCACATTTTTTACAAAGTGATTAAGTAACTGGTTATTTAGTAACTAAAGCACGCCTATTAACTAGTAGATTGTAGCTTTAAACCCTGTTCCCCTCTGTTTGGTATTAGGCAACCGGATAGTATTAGTAGGCTTTATACAAACTATATGACTAAAATATGAATACGGCCTACTTCTACTATACAAACTCATTTCTTAGTAAACTTTCTTAAATACCTGATTTTTCTTGAGATATCATGGTTACTTGTACATACTTTTAATTGTCACATGGTTTTGTTTTAACAGCCAATTTGAATTGGAAAAGTTCTGAAAAATGAGATTATAATGCAACTAATCACTGGTGATTTTTAACTTAAACTAAAATAAAAATGTGTCAGGTACTTTAAAAAAAAATAATCTAACTTCTTACTCATATCCTTTTTTTACAGATTTAGGCACAATGTGGGAACGTTTAAAATCGAATTATTACGTTACGAAATCCTTGTTTATTGCTGATATGATGCGAATGTTTCATAATTGTCGTACTTATAATCAACAAGACTCTTATCTTTATAGAAGTGCTAATACTTTAGAACGTTATTTCATCAATAAAATGAAAGAGGCGGACTTATGGCCTTAAATTATATTACAGAATCAACAAATTATGTAACTGAGTTTAGTAAATTTTGTTTGAATATTTCTTCTCTTATTTGTTTCCTGTTTTTCAGGGTAACACTTCGTACAAGTTTTGTATTTTATAATTTATTGTGTGACAGGTGTTATTTTGTGTAAATAACTTATAGTCTTATTAAATTTCGTAAAGTTGTTAATATTGCTCAAGGACTATCAATAAATATCTGTACTGAAAATCCTAATTTTAATTTCGAATGGGTTTAATTTCTATCTAATATTTTTCACTTATTCCGTGTAAGTTACTGAGCTTTTAAGAGAAGTATGAAGAATAAGTGAAGCGCACATGGACTAGTGATTGAGTTGGAAGGTGTGCTTAGTTGCTTTGCTGATTAGATTAGTAGTCATATTATAAAATCCAATCGTCTAAGAATTTTAAAACACCACGATATATTCTGTTTCATGAATTAACTAGATGACGTACAATTAGATTCTCAGAATAGATATATTTCGTTATGAAGTTGTAGACACAACTTTCCTCATAATTTTAACGGGATGCTATCCTGAGACAATAATTTCAAGTGGCTGATGTAAAACCCACTTCAGAAAAAACGTTAAAGGATTTAAGGCAAAAGAAAATAATGTTAACTAGCGACAAATGCACACTACCATCATCTTCTAGGTATCGTTATCCTGAAAAAGATTGTTTACTAGTCTTTCCTGAAGAAATTCCTGCACATACACATGGTCTAGATACTTCATTAATTTACCAGTACCTATTAAACTTACAAACTAAATTAGCGATAGCTTGACATATGTTCAAATTAATGACAGACCTGTGGTGTTTCAATATCATGTCTACTGATACACTAAAATTCATTTAGTTTAACGCTTATATTGAGATATTCAGGGAAATATCCCAAAAATTATCCTGTTAAGCCTAATGCTATCCTTCGACATGAAATGGTATCATCTTATTGGTCAATATTTATTCAACGTGTTATTTTCCTGTTGGCCATTATTGTACAATGTTATCTTCTATTTTATGGTACGTTGTGGACTGCTTGACTGGTATATAAACAAAGTATGTTTGAAATATAATGATTCATAAATCCGAGGCTGAGACTTGTGTTCTGGACTCAATTGACTGAGCTAGACAGGGAAGCGAGACCAATCAGAACCCTAGGTCGTTCTACGTGTCTTTGGTCCGATCAATTCGCTACCCCTCAATCGGCAGCATTTATTTTTCACGTTATAACAGCTTATGAATGATTTTCGCTTCAAACTGTGAAAACTAATTGATATGATACGTAAATCAACTGAGTAACCCTCTCCAAAATGGATATATCTACCACGCACGCAACGTCGTACACGATACCTAAATGTTACTTCACGAGATTTCGCAAAACCCGTAATAGATGCACATAACTTTTATAGATGGTTGCAGTTACTTCAAGGAGAATCATTAGCCTAAACAAAACCTTGATAATGCGAGAAAACGACTAAGCTCTTGAGTGACATGCGAACTGTCAGAAGCAACCGACAAGAACCCGTGCACCCTAGCATCCTAATAGTGGCTAATTTATGGTTATACATTTGTCGTAGATACTTGAACAGGGTAATTCGGCGTTGTGTGTGGTCTAACTGTAATCGTTACAGACCTAATGAGCAAACTATAATGATTTTAGAGGAAGGAAATAACATCTTGTTCTGTCGGAATGGAGTTTGAGTCAGATCTTCTTTCAAGCGGTGGTGTTCATATAGAATAATTGCTTTGTAAATCGCTGCTCGCTTCATTCTAAGCACAATATGATAACTTTATATGCGTTCACGATATTCGAGTTTGGGGAACTTCTAGAAACACCACATTCGAAACTCCCACTCATCCTGAGTTTATTCACGGTTACTTATTTGAGAAATGCGACGAGTATTTTATACCACCAATTTATAAACTGATGACCTGAGAAAAATTAAAGCGTAAAATGAAAATAAATTCTTAGCTTATTACACTTGCACTTTCTCCGTATTTACAATGAAGTAGATAATTAGAAGTGCAGTAAGAAAGATTTTATTTCAGTAGTTTATCTTCTCAGTTCATCGCTTGCTTACTATCAGACTTCATTCTCAGAAGAAACACTTATGCACCACTAATCAATATAGCACTTAAGTATATTACATTCTCTAAAATGCTTTCAATAAATTTTTCATCCTACCCATATGCACCACAACTCCGCCTGTAGCTCTTTCAGGGTTACCGCTGATCGCAAGCCCGTATAAGACAGGAAGGTTGGGCATGGGGTCCGAAACCCCATCCCATGGGAAACAAACTTGCTTTAATATGCTAACCAGAAAAATAATATAAACCATCTAAACTGTAACGTGTGAGTGGGAGGATCTCCCTTCATAAGGATTATGAGGCTTCATGGTGAAAGCCAAGGTTCCTCAGACGTCAAGAAGCCAATGCCATCTATAACGTCCAGAGCAATAACTAATGTAGGCACATGGAATGTCCAGAAAATGTGGGGAATTGTGAAGGTCAATAAAATAGCTCTGGAAATGAACCCAACCTACTCAAACTGAAAGGATTAGGTTTGAAAGAGATGTTCTTGTTCTCTCCGTGTGAAGAAAATGCTTTGCACACACAAGGAGTTGCACTGATGCTCTACAAAGAAGCACGAAAAGCACTCATACAATGGGTATCTCATGATCCAGAATCACCAAAGCATTCTTCAAATCATAGAACGAGGTGAACACAATCAATGTTATCCAGTAATGTGCACTCACCAATGATAGCAATGAAGGCGATAAACATCATCTTCGTGAGGTTTCAGTCGACCGTAGAGAAGTGACTGCGAAAGAACCTAACCATCCTGATTGGATACTTAGATGCAAAGTCGGATCGGACTACACTCACTATGAAGATATTATGCAACGACATGGACTGACTGAGAGGAAGGGGTTAAAACGGTGAGATCTTTGCAAAATTATCTGCATTCAATTGAATGGTTGTACGTGGTACTGTATTCCTCAACAAACGTATACACAAACCTACATGGGTCTTACCGGAGGATCACACTGCACAGAATCAGATCGATCGTATTTACGTCAATAAAGAGTTCAGAAGATCAATGGGAGACTTGAGAGCAAAGAGACGAGCTGCACACCTTCAGATCACCATCTACCTGGTGGTTGCCAAGATGAAATTCAAGCTAAAGAACTACTGGACAACTAGAGAAACAGCATTATAAAGGTTCAATACAGCCTTCCTTCGACATACTGACAAACTCAACAACAGGTTACAAGTACTACAGCATCTACTCAAACAAGAGGAGACTACGATGGAGAACAACTGGAAACGGATCAAAGATGCACTAACTCCACAGTTCAAACAGGTTCTAGGCCGCAACAAGCACCATCATAAGGAACAGATACTTATTGATACCTTGGACAACATTCAAGAAAGGAAGAACAAGAAGACAGCAATTAGTAACAGCTGAACAACAGCAGAGACAGTCAGAGCACAGACTGAATACACAGAATCAGACAAGAGAGTGAAGAGGAGCATTACAATCAACAAGCAGAAATACGTGGAACACTTAGCAATGACAGCGGAAAAGGCTGCAACACAAGGAAATATGAGACAACTACTATATGATACAACAAAGCAACTGGCAGTGAAATAGTATAAACCAGAGCCACAAGTCAATACGAACGTAAAGACGGTTCTACTGTAAGGAGTGGATACGTGCAGAACTACGACCGTCATCTTGAATGTGCAAGTATTTATAAACAATTATCTACACGAGATACTCAATGTCCTTGGGCTAGATACCATAAGCAACAACCGCAGATGGCTAGGAACCAATCGACTTTCAGTTAAACTGAAAATTAAGAAAAGATGCTGGGGGTGGGTATGATTTGTTGGCTGATGCTCTACTGCGTTTTTCATCCGGTTCAGCAACTCCCTATTAAAGACTTCGCCTTGTACTGAGAGTAGTTTAATGCCTTTGTAGTTTTCACATTTGCTCAGATCTCCTTTCTTTGGAATCTTGTTGAAGTCACTAATAGAACAATAATCGCAGAAATCATCAAACTGCATCAAGAGTAAAACCCTAATTTGGAATCCCGAAGGGGAAAGGAAAAGAGGAAGACCATCGCGTCGGAAATTGGCGGCAAGTATCAAAAGAAGGAATAGCACCTATAAAGGTCTGTTCAGGACAGAGTTCGATGGAGAACCCGGATGGGCAGCCTATGCTCCTGTGAAACGGGTAACAGGCGTAGGTAAATAAGCTCTACGCACCACAAATAAAACTGCGAAATCACATAAGCAATAAACACGTAAATTGGCGTAAAAGTTTACTAGAATATGTATAAAGTGCATTAGAGACTGGTCAATTTTAGCCCTGAGCATCAATGGGATGATTCAAACAACTAATATACACGAATTAAGCGTCACTCTATCGCACAAGCAAATGGTTCTCTGATATAAGTAGCCAATTGGATAACGCGGTGTTTGAAGCAAACGTTATTGGGTTTGATTCCCGGAGTGAACACCAACTTTGGGATGAAGGCATATCCAAACAGCGAGGCCCAAATAGGACAAAACACGCATCCTGGATTTCACTGCTAACCACCATGTAAATCTGCTTATAAGAATTAAGTCGTGCTTCATAAGCATCCGTCTAATAAACTAATGAATGACTTCATGAAGTAAATGTAAATTCAAAACAAGTGTAATTTCGGCAAGATTAAAAGTATTAAAATACACTTGACAGTTATGTGCAAACAGAGAAATGCAGACATCCGAAAAAAACATGTTCATTTCATCATAGGATCTATGGCGAAATTTAAAAACGGCGAGCCCTTTAAGAATGTGAGCGAGAAGAACTTGAACTAGAGGATGAACTAGAACCGGAATTCGAACTTGATGAGGAGGAAGAAGATGATCCTGAGTTGGAAGAAGACGAAGACGATGAACGGGAAGATGCTTTCTTATCACGACGGTTAACATCTCCAGGTTTTTTATCACCTCGACCAGCAGTTGATTGTAATTTTGCTTTAGGACTATGGGACCTAGGTCGTTTAGGGCCAGTTCGAGAGCTTGGAGGACCTACAAAACACAATAACATTTTAAAAATGCATTAAGAAATCAAAATATCTAGTACTTAAGACAGTATTGTAATGACTTGATTAATTAAAATATGATCATGAAAAAAGAAATTTAAAAACTGACATAATTAACTATATTACTTAAAAAGACAAATAAAACAGCCCCCTTTAGAGTCAGCAAAAGAGATTATCCTACGTTTAAATATTTGATGTTCGACAATATATTACATAACCAAATGTGTTACTCAATATCTTAATGAAAGAAATAAAACAATGAACTTACTAGGTCTGCGGTAACGTGATCCCGTAAGAGGAGAACGAGGTCGATTAGTTGAATGACTTGCAAATGGACTGCCACTGCTTCCTCGTCGGTTTCTTTTGAGTTCATTATCTAGACGACTGCCACGTGTTCTTTCACGTTCACGATCCCTAATGCGTTCTCGAATTCGAGAATGCTCTTGCCTATCATGAGTTCGAAAATGATTGTGAGAAGCATGTTTTTTACCAGAATCTTCTTTCACACGATTATGTTCTGTGGAATCATTAAATGTTTTTGAAGTATGTCCTTCGCGATTATGTGACCTTGCACGATCATGCTTTGATGAATCATGGCCTCTTTTTCTAAAAAGCATTAAAGAAGCAGTTACGTAAGTATCAATATAAGGTAAGTGATAAAGACAAGAGCTAATTGTTACTTTTTAGAAGCCATCAGAAAGAGAAAAAAGAGACAAGGAGGAATCAGATTAAAATTTGGGAGAACACAAAGAGTGGATGCACCTGCACCATTGCAAACAATTTTGAGCCATGTCATTCAGCGTCTCTAACCATCGGTTGCCATCATCTCGCGGATCCAACAAGGTAGTCCACACCTACCAACATGGAACGAACTGCTGCGCAGTAAACACATCCTTTGGTTCATAGACGGATATCTCGCCTACACCATAAATGACGCAAGTTGGCAAAAGCTAGTCGAGCCTTCTGTATCCGTGCTGAGATTTCGTCACACACCAGACCACAAAGGCTGATCAGACTTCCAAGATAAGTGAAGCGGTCGACACGCTCAACTACTTCACTCCCTATCATTAGTTCGGGTGTCGATGCAACCCAATCCTGAAGCAACATTTTGCATTGCGAGGGGAAGAATCGCATCCCGAACATACTTGCATTGTTGCTTTAAGTGGTCAGAAGACTCTGTATTTTGTCAGCGTCTTCACCAAATAGAACTATGTCATCGGCATATTCCAAGTCAACAAGTGAATCTCCTGGTAGGAGTTCAACCCCTGTATATTTAGATGAGGAGAGTGTTATCTCTAAAAGTACGTCAATGACAAAGTTGAACAAGAATGGGGAGAGTGGACAGCCCTGACGAACACCACTCGAGGAAATCAATTCTGATGACAGTTCGCCATAAGCTCTCACTCGACCAGTTGTGCTCGAGTAGAGAGCCTTTACAAGGTTAATGTACTTCTTTGGTACTCCTTTCAATGACAAACACTGCCATAGAACAAGGCAAAGAATTAATCACAGCTCTAAGTAAGAATGAAAACAAATCATATTCAATGATGTTATATGCGACTTAGTACTTCCAGGCAATTTTGATGAATGTATAAAATTAGTGAAAAATTTATAAACAATCTCTCAAATTAATCTGGTTTATTATAGATTCAATCTGAAGCATCGTAGTTCTGGGTGCTACTGAAAGTGATCAAATGAAAAAAGCCTTTAAACCGTTTTACATATCCAGTAATGAAAGCCGGTCAATGTTAGGTAAAATATGTAAAGTTACTTACCTGTAGCCTGTTCGTTCATCTGAACGGCCTGCACGATCACTTAGGTGTGCCGTTCGAGAATGAACTTCAGAAACTCTTACTTCTTGTCCATCTATTTGTCCTCCATTCATGAAATTAACTGCATCACTGGCTGACTTGGAATCGACATACTCAACATAACCATACCCCCTGTTAAATTCCGGGTGAATACGATCAGGTGGAAGATCAACTGAATGGATTTCTCCCCATACGGAGAATATTTCCTGAATATGAACCTAGAATGTAATAAAGAAAATGGGAAAAATTTGAAGAAGAAATGTTTATACTGAAAAGACAAAACTGAAAGTTACATTTACATACGCCGACCTCCAAAATATATCCCTTATGTTCAGGATATTATTTCAAATCTATATATTTTGGATTTCCAAGAAACGACAACGCTGTCAATGCAGTTTGTTAAAACGTGACTAGTATTAGAATGATACGAAAAAAATGATAATAGAGATCTTGAAGGTAAATCAGAACTATGTAAATTTTAGTGATTATATGTTGAAAAATTGTATATAATTTTAGAAGTGTACATAATAATTATGGTTTTGCAAATTGACTTGAAGTATCAGAGGGATTCAACAGATTTCCTAAATCGTGTTTCTTAAAATTGTTGAAGAAAACAGAAAATTAAAAAATCGACTATTACCTTTGTTATATTTTTAGTCAACTTCTCAATAAGTACACGAGTGAACCGACTATCGGATGCAGAATTGTTATTAGGAAGAGGTTTTTCTGCATTGTTCTCCTTGTTTGACTTTGATACAATATTATGTGATGTTTTATCCCGATTCTTATTTTTCGATGTCTCTGCAACCTTATCGTCAGAATCCTGCACTGAAGACGAAAGTGTCGACCCAGTAACAGCTGAGGTATCTGGAACTTTTAATAAATGATCTGTTGAATTTGATTTTGGGTTACCCTCAGGTTTGCTTAGTTCATCCTTAGACGTTAATGCACTGACTACTTTTTTCTTTGAATCACCAGGTTCCGATGATTTATAAGACATCTGTTGTGTTTTATCGCTTACTTTAGAATGGATAGAACTTGACTGACCGGGTGGATGAGGACGTTCACTAAGGTTTTTTGTATCCGAAGCTAAATTTGAAATGAATAATTATTTGGGCATTTAGTACTGCAGAAAGGAATTTTGTTTAGCGAACAGACTAAGAAACATAAATGGAACAAAATATTGAGCAAGTAACTTTAGGTTTAATATATGTGCAAAAATATCTCCTAAATGGGTAACAGACGGCATATCCTATACTTTTCTTTAACTAATGAGAAGGGAAGATTCGGAACATACAATTAACAAATATTCCTATGTTTAATTTTAATGCATAATTTGCGAGAGATTCAACGGGACTTGGAGCATCAGAGACCAAATGTCTATCCGATCGGTATATTTAACTATATTGACCTCCATAAGTAACACACTTTTAATAGATGTGCTGTAAATAACAAATTATTATACTTTGATTACGTAACTGAGTTATTCGTGTGTATCAAGAAGTGATGAAGCAATATACAGTCAAAAAAATTATTCGCAGTAATGAAAGATTAGACTCAGTACGTAGACTACATTCTGAACAGTGATATCTTAAGAAAACTCGAATAAACGAGTCGATGTAATGTATCAGATGATTCAATAATTGGTGTGGAAATGTAGAAAAACAGTAACCCTTTGTAATTAAAGCATTAGAACTACTGAATCCCATATAGATGAATTAGTTCTCGAGCTCCCAACAAAATCCACTCTCTCTAATCGCCTTTAACAGGTAACATACACGAGTTATTGAGATGGTACATTTCACTACAGCGATGTGAAAAATTTCCTGATTAATTTGCTGAATACACTGGAGTTTATACCTTGTTTATTTATCCATGGACAAACGTTTACTCTTTTTAGTTGTACCGTAACCTCATTTAACTACGGTATGCAATCAAAATATCTAATGAAAGGACACAAAACTACTATCGTGTTAGTTAACAGGCAAATAATTAACAAACCTTGATAAAACGGGATAAATATTTCTAGGATTCGAGAGATACAGTCTTAAATAGTATATAAAAATACTGCTGGGGTTGAGTAACAGGTGTATTAACAATATGCAAAAAACAATGCAGCTACACGCAAACCTGGGACAAGATTAGATTTTTTGGATCCCTTCGATGAATTTGAGGAGTCCGATGCCGAAGAGTCATTTGAGTCAGAATCAGATGATGACGAATTCGAATCTGAGGAACTGGATGTTGACGTACGACTTCGTCTAGCACGTCGCCTAGGTGGACTTCGAGTAATCTTAGAATGGGAATATTTTCTGTCGTGTTGTCTGGAACTTGAAGAGTGGCTAACCTTGTCTGTACTTTTGAGAGGGTTCTTTTTTGCAGATATCAAAGTCTTTGTTGAACTCTTATTGGTGCTCAAATCTGGCATCTTGTCAACTATAATGTATAACAGAATATGAAATTAACGACAGATTCACAAGTAAACAAAAGTCACGTAAGATCATGATTATATGAATATAAAAACACGTAATGTAAGGTAACATCGTCAAATCCGAAAACCAATAGTTCATCGGTCTTAACAGTGACAAAAAAGTAATCTATACTTTACTACTACTGCTTTCACTTTTATATCAATGGGATAGAGTTAAAAACGCTGTTCTCTGAAAGTTAAGTGCTGTTATACTCTGTTTTTGGATCCCACCACAATAAGTCTGATGAAACATGATAAACTTAATTATTTACCGAAAGATTAACTGGATTAATATAACCAGTTGGATAGAAACAGAAATCGATTTCACCAACTACAAACAAGAACAATTTCTCATAAAATTGTACTTTGGTTTACAATAAGCTGATGACTGTTTTCGTACATGATCGTTTGATTCGATGACATTTCTAAAAAAGGTATGTTGTCAGTAATGATACTACACATTATTTATAGTCAATTAATATAAAACAGTTTCTGCCTAGATATTTGCCCGACAAAGTATGTAAGATAATTATGATTTATTCTCGCGTATCAAAGACAATGAGAATTATTATCAAGACATATTAGTTTCAAACGACTAACCATTAGGTTTAATATTCTACATAGTCCAAACATCAATATAAGCAGTCGTCTTTACATGAAACTTTAGACATAAAATGCTAACTATCAAAGTGAAGTACGTTTGTGGGGATCAGTGAGATTAATAGTTTACAAAATAGCTGACTAAAACGAAATATAAAACAAGGAATAATTAATAAAGAAGTCGATGCGATTATTTTGAGGTAAAGCTAACGTAAGTAAATGCAATTTATAATCAAAAATAGATTACTGTAGATCACCCCATCATATGAAAAAATGGTAATGGTTACGCATGATAAATAGTGACTAATTACTTTCAGAGTTACGGGAATCAGTTTGACATTGGAATGTAATCACAGAAATCATGCTTTGTTCCAGATTTTCATAATAATATAACTTATCATGATACTCAAGGTGGTCATGTTGCTGTTATTCCTCAATAACTTTAGATACAAAACAAGGATACGATATATTTTGTTTACAATTCGAAGAAAACCGATTTACTGAGCCACAATGAAATAATCACACAGCCCTTACCAAATTCTTACAAAGTTCAATAACATGACCAGTGTTATGTATCGAGCCCCTACGTAACAATTAATTACGGTAACACTAATAAATAAAAATTTCACGCTAGTGTTGCAATACATTACTATTTCTGCGGGCTCTATTTGAGTTGAATGCAGGAATATTTATTTTAATTCAGGTTAAATCAAACCTCAAGGATCATATATAATATAAAAAACAAGAGGATATTTGATAAACTGAGGATATGGACGGAATCTGCATTTTATAGTCAAAGTTAAATAAAATATCACCAAAATGCAAACCAATCAGTACATATTCAAACAGTAACAAACTTAGAAAAAACCATCCAAGAATTTAGGATTAATAGACAATTTTATTATAACTTTCGAAATTATAATACAGAAATTAATAACATAAGTTTAAATAAACAAAACCCACAGCCAATAAGATGTTTTATACATAAACTCAAAGGATCAATATGTACATAAAGAAAATCTGAAATTTGATTAAACTAAATGAATTTGGCGATTATATGACGGAAATAATATCACATAGGTTAAAAAGAAAATGCGACCATACTTATAGAGAACGAGAACTACGTTGAAGAAAAACAAAATTAACTCAAAAATATCTGAAAGTTTGATTTTGAAAGTATAGTAAATAAACGTTTGAAAAGTACAGGAAGTATTTCAGGTAAGAGAATATATATAGGCGCAGTTCGATAATTTACAGAAATGTGAAAACGGCATCATCAACAACACAACCTCAGAACATATGTACGAAATATTTGAAATTAAAGCAAATAACTATCAGTTCATCCATTTTCGACAATTAATTGAACCACAAAGACATGGAATCCGATCCCAACGATCTTCTTCTAGGTCAAATTTGTAGTCATATGTCAATTCATCACCTTTTTCGATGTTTTTACTAGCAATTATCACTATGTGGTTAGAATTATCACAGTGGAGTATTTCTGCAGTACAGTTAGGGTCACAAGAATGATTAATATAACGAGCTAAACCACCAGACATAGTTGCATCCACAATCCAATCGTCATCGACCCGAAACATGTATATTCCTCGATTTTGCGACTCATATAAACGTTCTCTTCGATTAGCTACTTCGTTACGAATGACCTCTCCCAGATACTCAATAATGAAGGTACTTTTACTTATATCACGAGCAGCATACAATCCCAGGCCTTGTATTCGAGATCGCGCTAAGACGACATTTGTTTTCCAATCCCAACGTAGTCGACGATACTGTTGAGATTTGCTGGTCATGCTCGGAGACAGAGAATTTAGGTAAGTGGGACTTCCGATATCTGAACTGTAAGGATGACCAGGAGTTTCAAGAAAAACGTGGTTGTGGGCAATATACGTACAAGTGTTAACATCTCCAGTAGACTTGCGCCGGATATAAGTCCGAAGCTTTGGTTCAGATCGAGCAGAGCCTGTAGGATTTATTGCTAAAGGCATTTCCTGAATCAACTGCAGTTTACCAAATTTGAAAAGGTAATTGCTCAGACGATCTACACCAGGTAAAGATTCGATCGCTCGAATAATATGAGGCTCTGTAAGACCATATAACACCTCACCTTGTATGTTATCCTGCAAAATTCGGAAAAGCGACGAACATTTGCGTGACGAATTTATACGATTTATTATTTTCCGCCAAACACCATCGCAGGTCGTATCTTCAAAGAAGATTTTTTCTTCATTTGGTTCTATTACTTCTACAGTAAACTTGACTAAAATAGGATCAACGAGGGAGTGATTTACATCATCTGGCCGTACTGAATCTTCTATTCGGCAATCATAACGGCAACGCTGACCCACGTGACGAAAAGACCAATAAATTCGAGAGGTCCAGTAACCGACAGGATATATGAAATTCGATGTATGGAAAACTCCACTAGCTAATTGTTCAGGTAGCAACTGGCCTATTCGATGCAATATTAATGTTCCTATACGTAATTTAAGTTTTGGTTCCTTAACATTTTGCATTGAAGTGAAATGATCTTCATCTGATATGATTTTTTCAACCTGTGAATGTTCATCTCTGGAAATGTAAACCTTTCTTTCAACAGCTAAGCTATCAAGGTGGGGTATATTACTTGCACTTTTAAGATGTAACGGACAATACATTCCTCGATCAGGGTGAAAAGAACAATTGATTTGATAGGCACATGGTAGGTGATATACGGCTTGGCAATCCGAATCAAAACAAGGTAAGCCAGCTCCCAGATTTTTACAATAGGTGCAAGGAGTTTTCGAGGCCTTTTCCGAAGAACAAGGTACATCCATTAACGAGCCACTAACTGTTTCATAGGTTTCGTAACACCAAAGTATACAGTTTAGATGTAACCATTTATCGGTATTGTAGTTAAGCAATCTACTGGTTACATCATTTGATCCATCACCTATTTGATGGCATAACTGGCATACGCGAGTGTCGATACATGAAAATTTTTTAGATAGAAAACTTTTCTGGGACATGGGCAAATCAGAAGAGCTTCGCAAAACATTGAATGAGCATACTGGTGGGCTACCAATAAGTCTTCGCCAGCGAATATTACGCCATCGTTTCACAGTAGAGCTAACCCCAAATAACATACGATTAGATGTTTCGTTGGGACTTCTTTTGAAATTAACTTGTAAATCTTGAGAAGAAAGACGTTTAAAAGATTGCTTCATACGTTTAGGATGATTACTTTTAACTAATAAGATGATAAGCGGCTGAGATTCGATTGTTGAAGTAACTGTAAAGGGAATATCAAAATTGCTGGCATCAGGAACAAATGACGTCATACAGTTAGGTCCCTGTCGTTTCAACCTTGCTAAACAACTAGAACTGCAAAATGGTAAGTAACTTTCCTTATCGTGAGACTTCCATTTGAATGTCTTCTGAGGTAACATTATTTGCATTTTACAATACGAGCAGGTTTCATGTGCTTCGCCATTAAGTCGATTACATAAAATAACTTCCTCACAATACTTTTGATTAGAGTTGTGACCGGTTATGAACCCGGATTTAAGAGAATGTTTGTCGCTGACTTTGTGATAAAGAGGAGGTGTTATGCAACCATTAGTATACATGTCACAGGGCTGGTTTGATGTTAACAGGTCGAGGGGAGATACTTGGTTTACAGGAGAAGGAGAAATATAATTAGAATAGGAGTTTCGACTAAAAGTGCGTTTATATGCATCTGATAAAAAATTTTCATGATTTAAACTATTCATTTTTTCTTCGGTATCAGGACGTTGAGCTAAGAATCGCAAAATAATGTCATCCGGAATAGGTCTACATTCAGGTTTACATAAAGACAAAGGAAAACGAAAGTACTTCCGGCCTCGTATATTTACATCATTAGTGTAGTTCCCCGAAAAACGATTTTGAGGAAACCTTGGTGAAGGAATCGGTGGATATAAGTCGAATGAATGATGGAGTGGAGGATCTTGCAGAAAACGATTGACATTTTGTAAAAAAACAGGACCCATTAATGCATCTGCAGGAGAGTGATTTGAAATATTTTCACGGATTTTATCATTTAATGATCTGTGGCGCTTACCACCACGCTCAAGAACTTTTGAACCCTTCCGCTTACATTTCGACCCAAAAGAATCTTGACATTCAACCACTGGAAAACAATTAGTTTTAGTCGTTGAATTTGTTGCATTACTTTTCCAGTGATGCCTCGGGTTCAAATTTTGTGATGAGATTTTCCTATCGGTATTTTTCATTGATTCTTGAAGTAACACTGCATTCTTATTACGGTCATTTGTAGAATAAGCTATAGAAATTACTGGAGTTTTGTGTAAATAATAGTTATAGTTAGGTGATAACTGTTTTGGTTCAATAGAATGAATAGAATTCTCCAAATCAGTAGGACCGGAGTAAACACTCAAAGATCTTTTTCCCAAGGAGGAAGTGGTTGATATTTTTCCTGACCCCATGATTATTGGATCTGGGTCACACGTATAATCATCATTTAAAAACTTGTCTCTTACAATATTGTGTTTAATTCCAAACATGGATGAATCGACTTCTTTTAGTAGATAAACTGATGGTACAGTGATATTTTTTACCTTTGAGGATTGGACTTCGGTTCTGTCATATACGAATTCACATCCATCACTGGAAGGCACAGAAGCGTCAGAGACACATGCAGTTTTTCGACGTTGAAGATGATTATACATATTTTGCGAACTTTGGTAAGCACTGTTTAAATCCTGAGATTCAAAGCATACTATAGAGTTAGATGTTCTTATGCAATTTGTAGAGCTTGTTGGATAAGTATTTGAGTGACCAAGGATAGCAGAGCAGCCAATGACTTCAGTAAAACAATGGCCAGCTTCAGAAAAACAAACTTTTAAAGGTGAGCTGTTTGACGTAGTTATTTTGTCGGAGGAAATACAAGTTTCACACAAGTGCTGAAAATCAGATCCACGAGACTTATTGTGGTTTTTGTACTGAGAAGAATGAGCATTATCCAAATTGTTGCAACCAAAAGACGTAAATGCAGAAGTTTTGTTACATGAATATGAAGTTTTAAATGATGTATCTTGTGACACTTGAGTATCTGTGAAACCCGGGTGAAATGTATGTGAATTGGCGCGGTTATCAAGACTGATGTCTGTACGTACAGACCTGTAGAAGGCACTTTCTAGCGTTCGATCTGAATACAAGATAGAACATTCATCATTAGCATTTGAACAATGTCCAACAGATTGAGGACATGGAGAGAGAGAGCATGCACTGTTTGAATGATCAGTATCAGTTAAATCTGAAGAGATTAAAAAGTTTACTGAACAATGTCCATCTGAACAATCACGAGAGCTACTTTTATCACTCGGCATTGATGGAAGTTCAAATGATCCAGGAGAAGAAACTTCTTTACTTGGTGTCTTGAAAGACGATGGTGATCTTTGAAATGATTCATCGTGAACGGATTCAGAGATAAATAAACCATTTTTATTGCATAAATGATCTTCGTCACAATTAGGTGAGCACGAAATAAGTGAAAACTGGCAAACCTCATTTGTTGAAACAGTGGAACTATTATTTGAAGACCCATAAATATCCACAACGGTCGTCATATCTCGACAACTTGAAACGAATCAAGAGCATTTATCAAGATGAAAATAGGAATCAAAGAGTGGATAGCGCTGAAATTAAAAATGGATTTTAACAAGAAAATTAAGGCAATTACAAAAAGAAATAAAATGCATATTTTCGTTATATATATATATATATATATATAAGCATGTGAGAAATGAATTTTTGAAAACAGGATCATGGAACATAAATTGGAAGTTTGATGGATATGAATTGAAGACGGTTTCCGTCAGTGTTGCGATCCCAGGCTTTTGCAACCAAATACAAGTTGTGACATTATGTGTTATACGTTATTTGACTTATAACCGAGGGAACTAATTTCGCCAATCTTCACTTTACTTACAACTAACTAGATGTAGAGTATTCTAGATTATGATTATTAACTCGTAAATAAAAGCGCAGATTCATATTACATTCTGTTTTAGAACAATACATTACAGTACCAAAAAACGCCGAAAAATGGATATATATTATTGAGAAGCGAAGCAACATTTAGTTAATCGATGTCATCACAACAAATAGATGTCAACTGTGAGACAAAAATGTAATGTTCTCGCTTTTAAGGAATAAGTGCGAACGTCAGTTGCTCTGGTACTTGAAACAATGTTGTTCAAATCTCCTTATCCATACAGGAGGATCTTGAGGTGTATTTTCAATACTTTTAATGATAATCACATAACACAATGGTTTTGCTGAACTTAAGACAACGGTGATACCAAAAAAATGGTGTTCAGGTACATAACAGACGGAGTGGAGATAAGGAACTAACAAAACTATTTTTTATTTTAAGCTAACACACACTAGTTTTCTCAATTCAACACTATTCAGTATATTTGATGAGAAAAAAACTGAAAGCTATGGTTTTAACGCATACATGAAGTATCGTCTTTTGAACAAAGCAACATACGTATTTTATTACGCCATAGAAACTTCCAGTTTATCATAGAATTCTAAAAATATGATCAGGTACTTGATGGAGAATGATTATGAACTTTAGAATCAGGGAATGGTCAAATGAGTTAAATTTCATGTTTCACTAATTGTCAGTCGATCATCATCAAAATACAGCCTGGCACAGACTTGTGTTGGCTCAATTTGTCATACCATAATAGCATGACAAGAAATCAACAAAACGAATAGCGGAAGCCATCGAGATAATGTAGTATTAATGATAAACAGAAAGAACAAACCTTGGGACAGAGTAAAACAGTATGAAGGAATTTAAGATCCAGAGGAAGATAGAGAGTAGAATTACCTGAGCCATTGCAAACGATTATGAGCCGTCACGAAAGGTCATTAATAATTGGTCAAGGACATTATGGTCACCTAAAGGACACTAACCAAGTAGCCTGAATCTGCCTACATGACTAAGACCAACAGTCAATGATTTCATGGACTGACACCAAGTCTCAATTTGCACTCTCCTAGATCGTTTTCAATCTACTCCCATACTAGATATCCCCAGTCGAGATAGATGGTGGATAGACGTACGTAGTACATATCCCAGACACTTTAATCGATGGAGATAAACTAGCACATCAGTCACCATCCTATCATTACCTAGTACACCACATCTAAATTCAGAATTCCTAACTCGATGGTCACAAGATATACCAACAATGGCTTCATGATACCTCTGATTGAGTACTAGTAACCTAAGATTATCCTTGTTATAACTCTGTTTTCTTACGGTTAATCACCCAGCTATTCCTATTTGTTAGCGGGACATAGACTAGATTAAAGCATGCTCAATGCATGATTGCTTTGGTGCATGCTGATTGGCTAATTCTTATCCAATCAGCGCTAGTCGATAGTTGGAGAATATTCTGGATTTTTCTTATGTAAAAACTATAAATATACTGACGTTTTTCCCTATTGTGCTTCCTACTGGCTTCTGACTTGTTATTTGGAATATTATCTCTTCCTGTTCAACCGTGTTTTGATTTGGAGACTTGTCGAGTGAATCGGTGTCCGAGAATACTAAGCAATAGGAATAGCTGGGTCATTAACCGTAAGAAAAGACAGAGATTATAACACTATTGCTTAGTATTCTCAGACACCGATTCACTCGACAAGTCCCAAATCAAAACACGGTTGAACAGGAAGAGATTATATTCCAAATAACAAGTCAGAAGCCAGTAGGAAGCACAATAGGGAAAAACGTCAGTATATTTATAGTTTTTACATAAGAAAAATCCAGAATATTCTCCGACTATCGACTAGTGCTGATTGGATAAGAATTAGCCAATCAGCGTGCACCGAAGCAATCATGCATTGAGCATGCTTTAATCTAGTCTATGTCCCGCTAACACCTCCCCTCTGAGCAGATTCGTAGGATCTGGTGCTAGGGTCCAACTGCAACTGAGTGACTGGCTTGTGCTTCCGATTAGTCCATCGTCTAGGCAATGAAGAGTTATCACTTTTTCCTTGCACAGAGACTGAAGTGTCTGTTCCCGGCGTTTTGGTTTATTTTTTAAAAAAGTATGCATAACTTTTAATTCTCCAACATTCTCCTCCTCCGCGAAACAATGTCGGATCTTTATATCTCCAAGTTACAAATAATAGGACTTTATTTAAACGACGTTTCTCGCATTGAATGTCGGATCCACTAGAAACGACTAGATGATAATGAACGACCTTTGATTTGAGGTCAAAGTTTAATTCTTCTGAAGCATTACTTTCAAATTCATTAGGAATTTCATCAGTGGATAATGGATCATTACGGAAATCATCATCTAACAAAATTAAATTAGACTTTTGACCATAATTTGACTCAGCTGATATATTTTCCTGATTTTTATGAGAAATTTCATCAAAATAACATGCATTGTTCTGAGAACCCATGTCTGATACATTGTCATTAGAAATCGGATAAGCTGATTCAATATAAGTTTCTGTCTCACAATGATTTTGAGTAACATTCGGTATAATTGGGTTCGTTGTGTCACTGCAGTTATTTTCTGAATACGAGTCCCCATAGCTTTCTTGGCTAATATCACGTGGACCATAAATTTGTTCTAGCTGAAAGTTATTTTCAGAGCTAGACAGGACCAGTAGTGCTTCATTCAATTCTGAACTCCGGGTTTCATCTACAGGGTCTGACTCTTGATAATCTCGTATTGCCACAACTTTATGAGCATTCAGCACAGGATTTTCTTGCTGTGAGCCGGAAACGTTACAAATATTACGTTCTGATTCAGGTATAAAGGGATTTGAACACTCCACTAGATATGCTTCTGAAATGTCTGTTACTGCATCATAAACAAATTTCTTATTTTCTGGTCGAGTGAAAAGTGTGTTCAATAGTTTTTGTTGCAAGGCTAACAACTTCTGCTGGTGCTGTAATATTAACCGCAACTGTTCTAAAGAAATTGCCATTTTTCTTTAGTTTTTCCCCGTCGCCACTGTTATAATCTCTGTCTTTCCTCTTACGATTGATGACCCAGCTATTCCTATTGCTTAGTATTCTCGGACACCGATTCACTCGACAAGTCCCAAATCAAAACACGGTTGAACAGGAAGAGATTATATTCCAAATAACAAGTCAGAAGCCAGTAGGAAGCACAATAGGGAAAAACGTCAGTATATTTATAGTTTTTACATAAGAAAAATCCAGAATATTCTCCGACTATCGACTAGTGCTGATTGGATAAGAATTAGCCAATCAGCATGCACCAAAGCAATCATGCATTGAACATGCTTTAATCTAGTCTATGTCCCGCTAACAATCCTGTATTTTTAAGAGTAACGTTTCACATCTATAAGGTAATACAGCACGAACTGCTTCACAGCATACACGGTTCTTTGGTTGGCGGAAGAAAATCTCCCCTACGCCACAAGTTATGTAAGTTGGCGAAGATTAATCGAGCTTTCTGAATTAGGGCAGAGATTTTATTAGACACTAGCCCGCTAGAGTTGATGGGAATTCAAAGTGAAGTGATCAACATGATCGACAACTGCACTATTTATCAATAGTCCAAGTGCCAACGTAAACCAGTCCTGAAGCAAAATTTTGCATTTAGAGAGAGAGAAATGCATCCCAAGTATTGCACTGCTACTTAAGGTGATCAGAAGACTGCATTTTGTCTGTGTTTTCACCAAACAGGACTATATCACTTGCATATTCCAAGTCACTAAGTGAATCCTTTGGTAGGAGATCGACTCGTGAAAAGTCAGACAATGAGAGTTAAGTAAAAGTGAAGGAAGTAGACAACCTTGAGGAAAATTACTTGGAGTTCTCAATTCCGATGACAATTTGTAGTAAGCCATGACGCAACCAATAGCGTTAAAGTGAACAGCCTTCACAAGGTTAATGCACATTTTTGGTAAGCCCTTCAAATAACAAACTTATATAGAACCTGTTGATTTACAGAATCGAACGCTGCCTTAAGGTCGAGGAATACAACTATAGTCGGACGTCGATAGATATGACCGTATTCTGAAATTTGACGAAGATTCTGTACATTTATGTCAAAGTCTGAAACCAGATTGCTTTTCCTGAGTTTGATAGTTAGGACATCGAGAACTTCAACACGTATCTTGAAGAGAGGTTTCGGGGTACCTGGGATAATTTTTGATGAATTTGAATAATTAACACTGGTGATATATGTGGAAGTCGAAAAGCCATGAAGGTGAATGGTGGAAAAAGGAGTATTTGATAGTGAAGTTGGTGTTTAGTTATGAACAAAGTGATCAGTGTATTCTTTTGATAAAATTTTGAAAACAAATACTGGGTTTAAGTACTGAGTTCTAACAGGTCGATTATGAATCAATAGGTGGAGGAAAAGCTATATTCAGTGATTCGTGTTGCTGAGACTATACGACCGAATAAAGCCAGAAATAATAAAAAATAAATCCCTAGATACAATGTATACGAATGAAGGTCAATCTTACTTTCGCATATCAATATAAGATTTTTGTTCAGCCAATTTTTTACACATTTGGTTTTGTAAATTATTCAGAATGACTTCTGCGATAATTTCTCTTATTAGGACGAGGCTACTCTTGTTGCTTAGTAACCTTGGACGCTACTTCACTCGACAAGTCCCCAAATCAAAATACGGCTGAACAGGAATGAAATTATATTCCAAATAATAAGGGTGGATGGAAGTACGAATCACAATAAAATAAGCGCTAGTACATTAATTTTTACATAAAAAGATTCTAGTCTTTTAAAGTCTATGCTAGCATTGATTGGCTAGGAAAGAGCCAATCAGCGCGCAATCAAAATTCTGCACAGAACATGCTACAATCTAATCTATATCCCGCTAACAACTATTCATTAACTTCAAATGTAATTCAGTTGTAATTAGTTACTTGATTTTTTGATGCATTTTATCACTATGATTTGTATTCAGCGACAATAATTCAGTTTATAGACTATAATCATTGTAACTGAATACGAATGATTACCTTGAGTGTAAATAATAAGTTCCCCAGGATCGTCACCAATACACCTTTTTTAGGAAACTTCTCCCATCCATTGAGCAAGGATTATCATTGAAGTGTTGTATATTAGTTCTCTGGTTTGTCCAGTTAGAATAGATTTCATTCCGTATTAGAAGTTTCCAAGCCTTCATAATCGGAAATATAAAACAGAATTTCAATTCACAACACCCGTGTGAGTCGCTGATGACTATCTTTACACCATGTAGAGCGTTGAGTTTTGTAACGATTTGGTTTCCGACCCACATGACATTTACTTTGTGAATGTTACTTTAAAGATGGTAAAATGGCAAAAGGGTTATGCTGTTGGAAACGTTCAGTCAATCAATGCTTTTCGATGGTGGACGCTGAATTGTTTCTATGTGAACCTCTAGAAGACTACTTGACCCACAACAGAGGGAAGACCTCCCAAATACAAAACCGTGATTACATAGTCTGATATGAACCTGGTGACATTGACCAGATGTATCATTTTACCTATTTTTGAGATGTGGCCTGAATTTAGAAGAATTTTAAAACTTATAAAAGGATATTATGATACTAGTTTAATACGGTTACTATGATCTTTTCTCTAAATGTTAAGACATAGGGGTATATCCAACAGTAGCTAGAATAAACTGTAAAAATCCAGGGGTATCCAAATTAAGACGAGATATCAGCTCATGAAATCAATGACTGCTCATTTGGACTATATTGGTAAGCCCAGACAGCTTGGATAGGGTCCGCATGACCAGTGGTAGACGTTGAGTGAAATGGCTGGGAATCGGTCAGTGTAAAAGACGGATTTACCCCTTATCTTCCCTTAGATTTTGAGTTTCTGTGTTCCTTCACACATACCTTTTCATTCCTTTATATCGATCTAATGCTCTATTTTTCTTATTACCATCGCTACTACATTGTTTCGACTCCTTTGCTAATTTTATTAACTTCAGTTTGTTGTGATGATGTGGTATGGTATTGAGCTAATATACACTCGTCCCAGGCTCGAAGATGATTGTAGCTGACAGACTTATACCCAATTATCTCAAAATATTGGTGCTACCATCATTTAAATTGTATTCATATAAAGTCTGAGAGTCGCTCAAATATATTTAGAGCTAGTATCAACATCCCTACCAAAATATGTTGTAATGGTTGGAGCACGTTTTTGTCTATCCGAGACCCGAATTCAAGACTCTGGTGAAGAGCTACAAATTCGATCTCCATCTGTCGCTTCGAAAAGCTTGTTTTACGTGCGTTTATCCGAGGACCCTGTTCAATCTTCGTCTGGTCTTGCTGGCGTTGGTGTCGCACTAAGCGCTAGAGCTGAGGCAGCACTAATCGACTGGATCCCCATTAACAGTCGGTTATGTGCTGTTAGATCAGAGAGTTCCATCAAAGTGAGAAGAAATCGGCGTGAGAAATGATGTCTTTTCGTCATCTCCTCCTATGCCCCGACAGATTGCAGCCCGGATGCAATCAAGGATGAGTTTTACCACCAGTTATCTGTTCTTCTCCAGAAAGTGCGTTTGACAGATATTGTAGTACTAGCCGGAGACTTGAATGCTCAGGTCGGGCGTCTAGACACAGAAGAGAGTCGTTTAGGTGGTCAATGGGGACTTGTTGGTCGCAGGACAGATAACGGGGACCGTCCACTGCAACTGTGCACAAACAACAACCTGTTTCTGGCTAGCATCAACTTTCGGCACAGTCATTGCCGATGTGCCACCTAACGTCCTCCCTCTGCATCTCAAGCCTGGACTCAGATTGATCACATCGCGATCAGCTACCGCTGGCGTGGTTGTGTAAAAGACTGCCGCTCCTTTTGGAGTACCTATCTGGACTCTGACCATGCCTCGGTCTGTGCCAATCTTACCTTATTTTTCAGTGGCCAACGAAGTGACCGCCACCAAAGGATTGGTGTCAGCAAGATGGTTGCAACTAAGTATCGAACCGAGCTAGCTTCTAGGCTAGCTACCATTCCACCGAAAAGTGTAGATGAGCATTGGTTGCAACTTCATGACGCCATCAAAATGGCGAGTAATGACGCTTGTGGCTTCGTGAAACGTCCCGCTTATAAGTACTGGGTTTCTTACAGCTCATTGAAGCCCGTCGGTCTAATCCGGATGACTGTGAGTTTGATCATAAACGAAGGATGTTACGTAAGGAAATTGGGCAAAGCTTGCGTAAGGACCGAGAAACCTGGTGGTCGGAGTGTGCTAATGAGTTGGAAGCAGCAGCTGCATGTGGTAACCACCGGAAGCTCTTCCAACTCATCCGAGCCACTGGCAGCAAGAAGTCTGATGTGAGCGAAACAATCTGTGAGGATGACGGGATGCTCATCACTAACATTCATCGACGTCTTGGACGATGGGCAAAACTATTCGAAAAGCAATTCAACTGGCCTATGCTCCGGCAACATCGATCGGACTGTTCTGCCCTCCATGGCCGGTGACGACTGATCCACCAAATGAGGCAGAAGTTCGCAAGGAACTCCGACTCTCGAAGCGCTACAAATCACCTGGCCCAGATGACTTACCTACGGTTCTTTTTAAAAGTGGTGGCAGCCTTCTGGTTAAGGAACTGACTGAGTTGTTTACAGAGGATTGGAAGTTAAAGAGTGTTCTAACGTCATGGAATGAGTCGATAGTTGTCCCTATCTTTAAAAAGGGTTCGCGTCGTTCCTGTAACAACTATCGGGGGATAAGTCTACTTCCGATTGCGTCCAAGCTATTGGCTTCCGTCATACTTCGTAGGTTGTTCAAAACCCGAGAAAGACTGACTCGCGAGCAGCAGGCTGGTTTTCGTTCTGGTCGAGGATGTATTGATCATATCTTCACCCTCCGCCAAATGTTAGAACACCGTCATACTTATCAAGGGCCAACAATCGTAGTGTTTCTTGACATCAGGGCTGTCTTCGATTCGTTGGACAGGACTGTTCTCTGGGATTGTCTATTGAAGAAGGGTGTACCTGAGAAGTTTACTAACATCTTAAAGGCCCTATATACAAACATCTCAGGTAGAGTGAGGGCATTCAACCACCTCTCTCCATTGTCTCATTCGAGCAGTGTGATTAGGCAGGGTTGCCCAATCTCACCATTCCTCTTCGACTTTGCCATCGATGACATTCTGAAAACAGCTCTGATGAATGTAAGTAATGGTGGTGTGGATCTGTTGCCTGGAGAAAGACTTTTCGACCTTGAGTATGCGGATGATACTGTCTTACTGTGCGATAATGCCCAAGCTATGCAATCCTCACTTAATCAGTTGGCAATCAGTGTCCGTAAGTATGGTATGTGCTTTGCACCTTCGAAGTGCAAAGTACTTCTACAAGACTGGCAGGATTCTAACCCTGTACTCACTGTGGATGGTGAGTAGATAGTAGTCGAGAAGTTCATGTATCTAGATAGCTGCATAACTGCTGATGGTGGCGTGAGTGATGAGATCAATGCACGTATAGTGAAAGCCAGAGTGGCTTATGCCAATCTGGGCCATGTTTGGCGCCTTCGTGATGTTAGTCTGGCCGTAAAAGGTCGGATTTACAACGCGTCGGTGAGAGCAGTTTTGCTCTATGCTTGTGAAACCTGGTCTCTCCGAGTTGAGGACGTTAGACGACTCTCTGTGTTCGATCATCGCTGTCTCCGAAGGATTGCTGACATTCAGTGGCAACACCATGTCAGTAATGCAGAGGTTCGGCATCGTGTGTTCGGGCACAGAGATGATAATTCAATTGGTGTCACCATCTCGAAACACCGACTTCGGTGGCTTGGACATGTTCTACGAATGTCGTCCCAGAGAATTCCACGTCGTGCATTATTTGCCGACTCTGGGACTGGTTGGAAGGAGCGGAGAGGTGGTCAGTGCATGACATGGTGCCGTGGTATGAAAGAAAGCTGCAAAGGACTGGCTTCTGTCGGTCCTTCACGACTCCCTGGTTGGAGTCCTAGAGATGGTGTGACAGTGGCTAGAAACGTTATCAGATATGGCTCAGAATAGAAGACAGTGGCGATCCTGCTGTAACCTTCTTTTACTTTCTTCGTAAAAAGTGGTTATATCTTACTTAACTGAAAGATTTCTTCTGATTGTACATTTCCGTTCAACCATTAATGTTATTATTATTATTATTACACTACCCCACACTAATCTGGTCGTTATTGTTATTTTTTTTCTTTTTCGCTCCTTACCCTCTTTTTCTCTTCCCATTCTCATTGTTTTGTGTGGTGCATATATTTTTGGTGCCCTCGTGTACAAATAAATAAATAAAGTCAGTCAGTCAACAACAACGTAGAACTTCGTACGTAAGTACATCAGTTCGAGTTGCCACACCACATTAGCACAGAGATGTAGTGGTCGATCCAAATCCCGTAGTGGTAGAGGGAGTAAGAGTACATGTAGTAATCAGAAACATTAGTGTTTAGAGATGTTATTTAGAGAGTATAAAACAGTGAAATAATTCTGGAAAGAAAATAAAGGACATGACGAATTCAGAAGATTAGAATTTGGGAGAACACAGAGAGTGGATGCACCTGCGCCATTGCAAACGATTTTGAGCCATGTCATTCAGGGTCTCTAACCATCGGTTGCTGTCATCTCGCGGTCCCCAACCAGGTAGTCTACACCTACCAACATGACTCAGTTCACTTGTCAGTGACTTCATGGACTTGTGCCATGTTTTGGTTTGGCCGCCCCTAGCTTTCTTCCAACCTACTCCTATACCACTGAACATAGCACGTCGAGGCAGTCGGTGGTTGGGCATACGTAACACGTGTCACAGCCATCTCAACTGATGAAGTTTCACTACTTCATCAATTGATTTGCCATCCTTACCTAGTACCCGTTTCCTAACAACTCCGTTACTTACTTGATGGTCCCATGATATATGAGCAATGTTTCGAAGACACCTATGATCAAATACTAGTAACCTACGGATATCCTCTACTCTTACCGGCCATGTTTCACTGCCATAAAGTGGGACGGAACGAACTGCTGCGCAGTAAACACGTCCTTTGGTTGGTAGACGGATATCTCGCCTACACCATAAATGACGCAAGTTGGCAAAAGCTAGTCGAGCCTTCTGTATCCGTGCTGAGATTTCGTCACACACCAGACCACAAAGGCTGATCAGACTTCCAAGATAAGTGAAGCGGTCGACACGCTCAACTACTTCACTCCCTATCATTAGTTCGGGTGTCGATGCAACCCAATCCTGAAGCAACATTTTGCATTGCGAGGGGAAGAATCGCATCCCGAACATACTTGCATTGTTGCTTTAAGTGGTCAGAAGACTCTGTATTTTGTCAGCGTCTTCACCAAATAGAACTATGTCATCGGCATATTCTAAGTCAACAAGTGAATCTCCTGGTAGGAGTTCAACCCTTGGAAATTTAGATGAGGAGAGTGTTATCTCTAAAAGTACGTCAATGACAAAGTTGAACAAGAATGGGGAGAGTGGACAGCCCTGACGAACACCACTTAAGGTGATCAATTCTGATGACAGTTCGCCATAAGCTCTCACTAGACCAGTTGTGCTCGAGTAGAGAGCCTTTACAAGGTTAATGTACTTCTTTGGTACTCCTTTCAGTGACAAACACTGCCACAGAACCTTACGATAGACAGAGTCGAATGCCGCCTTAAGGTCGAGAAATACTACGATTGTGGGGCGTCTGAATGTGTGTCTGTGTTCTAGAACCTGACGTAGTGTGAATATCTGATGTATACAACCACGTCCAGGTCGAAAACCAGCCTGGTTTTCTCTAGTCTGTTCTTCACGAGCTTTAGTTAGGCGTCGAAGTATTATTGAAGCTAATATTTTAGATACTATATTTGTCAAACTGATTCCTCTGTGATTGTCACAAGAGGACTTTTGTCCTTTCTTATAGACTGGCACAATCAGTGATTGAGATCAGTCAGATGGGATTACGTCCAGTTCCCAAATTCTACCTAAGACCTCGGTTAATCTCATTGCTAATACTGGACCACCATCCTTAAAAATCTCAGGAGTAAACCTGTCAGGGCCTGCTGCTCTCCCTCGTTTCAGATTTCCTATGGCTTTTTCAACTTCGTAAAGGGACGGAGGACTTACATTAACTTGCCATTCAGGTTGACTGGAGATCGTGGGAAACCGAAGTGTGGCTGAAGGCCAGTCGAACTGATCCCTAAAGTGTTCTGCCCATCGATCCAATCTCCTGGATTGAGAATGAATAATATGTCCATCTTTCTCTGAGATTGTTTCGCTAACGGTCGGGTTCCTAATTCCGGTTTCCTTAACGAGTCTAAACAATTGTCTGCTATTACCTATTGCCGCTGCCTTTTCCATCTCTCTTGCTTTCGCTACCCACCACTCCGGGTGTGGCCCTCTTAGAATACCACCTGCTTCGGTTTGGGCACCCGGGCAGTATTACTGCCCTCACACATATCAAATGAGATTTGTGTGGCGCATATGTATTTGGTGCCTTCTTGTACCAATACCTGTGTTAAAATAAAAATAACGCAAAGAACTAATGTCTGCTTGCAACACAGTGGCTAGAGACGTTACCAGATATGGCTCAGAACAGAAGCCAGTGGCGATCCTGCTGTAATCTTTTACTTTCTTCATAAAAAGTGGTCGTGTCTCCCTTACCTGAAAAATTTCCGATTGTACCTTTGCGTTCCCTCATTACTACCACACTACCTTACACCAATCTCTTCGTTATTGTTCTATTTTTTTCTATTTCTCTTCGAATTCTCATTGTTTTGTGTGGCGCATATATATTGGCGCTCTTTTGTACCAATATTTATGTGTTCAAATAAAATAAAATAAAATGCCTTTAAACTATCCAAACGTTCTCATACTAAACGGTCACTAATTTACTCTGAAGACAGCGTACCTTGAAGATTTTCGCCAGTTACATGACCAAGGGTGGAATTTTGTCGTGAGATTTACGTAGCCGATGAACTATCGACACTTGCACAAGACAGCCTACCTTTGGCGAACAAATTTTCATAATCATAACGCAGAAAATGAAAACAAGGGGGCGTTTCAATCTTAAAAATGTGGCTCGCTTGTTACTTGGAAAGCTGGGACAACAGAAAATACTGTGCATTTTAAAGGCGATTTTTGAGTTGTGTGGTGTTACAAAACAAGTCTAGAAAAAGTCAGAATCAGAGGTCTGACGAGCAATATAAAATAGTTTAGGTTGGGATCTTAGACCAAAATTTGCGACCGCATTTCCAACATAAACCTGTTGCAAACATCCAGCAGTAGAAGTGCCGGATGTAAACTATATATATATATATATATATATATATATATATATATATATATATATATATATAGGACCGATTAGCTATTACTTATTCTGAAGGCGACTTGTCATTTTTAAGAACCATGTAAAGAATTTCAAGAAAATGGGATGACTGTACTGTACAGACGCTGTGCCGTGTGCACGAACGCTTATAAAGCAATCTAACTAGCTCCGTTTATTAAACTTGAGAACCTTAACTCGTCACTAAATCTGACGGAACAATCACTACTCACAACCGTGTTGAAACGCTCCGTAAGTTTTTCATAATTTTTAATGCACAAAAGTGCGAGAATAAGAATGAGTAATGACCATCGAATACACAATACAGTTATGAGGACAGATAAAAACCCGAAACCGCGAACTGCAAGTTAGGTCTATCTTCGGAAGTCAGGCTACCCAGAACCAGTTACTTATCATACAGGATATAAGGGAAGTAAGCGAATATGAATAAGAGAATAACTGCACCTCAGTACGACCATAAATGAATCAAGAAATGAACCTTTGAAAACTGATTAGTGAAACATGGTCAGACATCGATGATTTCTAACCAGTTTGATGTTTATCAAATAGCAACGCATACTTTTGAGGGACTTACCAAAATAAGCAGCTTTGTATCGTGGGAAAAAGTCAAAGACGATTGAGGGGACATGATACTATTTCCCGGTCGTGGTAACCGCGATTGCTTTAAACAAGAACACTGTTGTAAGAGAAGTGAGCTTGTCAAAAACTGCAACATTTTACACAGAAACATGTCTTGATATTTAGAGACTTGGAATCTTTGAAGTCGTAAGATTTTGAAAAGAGGTTGAAGTAGTTCATTGACATTGCCAGTCTGAATTACCTTAGGTATTTCTGTGGATTGCATGGATGAACTTTTCAAGGCTGATAAGCAAAGAAACTTTGCCTTTGAAAAGTCATCGTTCTTTGGTGATGGAACAAAGACAAGGCATCTTTTTCCTAACGTAAACTGATTTGAACAGGAAATTATGCTAGGTACGTAGTGTCTAATACCTATTTACGTTATTCATCCTAGCTTTTGGACAGAACATAATAACTCAGTAACCATGTTACTACTGCATCGTTTTTACTTTCATAATAATTATTGTTTTCATGAGAAATTGTGATCTTTGGAACACATGCACCTATTAATTTTACGTTCTTGTATTTCTACGTCTATGCACCTTGTGTGCATAACGCCCATTACTTTATCCAATCCCTGTCTCTTTGCGACTTTATCCACTACCTATTTTGAGCCACGTTAACTCTCGTGATGAGTAATATAACGAGTTGGTATGTTTGCCTCCTGCTCTCCTCTTCTCTTATTGTCTGTCTGCGGGAACAAGTTTATGAAATATATGTGCCAAAAGTTCATTTATCTATTTGGCTTATTTTATTTCGTTATTCACTAACTTGAATTAGGCTTATAACTATATGCAAAGGTAGCCGGTATTTATACTTCTTTAACATAATCATACTATCGAATCGGAGTCTGATCAACGGGCATCTAAACTGGTTAATACGATGTAAAATAAATGAGTCATGAAAATCGACTTCGCTTAAATGTTTTCTATCCTTTTACGATATCAAATATCATTTTGGTGAGCTAACACAAAACGAGCGAAGATTAACAAGGAGATAAGACCAAGATTAAGAATGATAAGTGTAAACGACGATAAAGATGGGTTAAACTGAGGCTTTTAAAATAACTGTCTGAATGTGGTAAAGATTGTCGATGTAGATAAATTCCAGGACTAAAGTTTTATGAGTATTCGATATTGTTAACGACCTCACTAGTTTTCCTGGACACGCTCTTAGCTCAAAGCCCCTGGTCAAGCATTTGCACCAGATCACGCTTGGGCACTTGTTGAGCGTCTCTTATATAAACCAGTCTGCTTGAAATGTATGTACGAACCACTACAAGCCTGAGCTCAAATTTACCTGGCTTCAAGATCGTAAAATAAAAAACTCGGATAACAACATTATCATGCACTGTATATCTGTGATACCTTCAAGATAATCCGGTTTGTGTCACTCACGATATGATCGCTTCCGCTTTTCCAGTGGACAGCACAGATGATACCAGCTCTCAGAGGAGATTCTCGTGGGTTTTATTCTTTGTCCTTATATGCCATGCTGTTGCGTTTCTCTGGGTGTCCATCAAACGTTCTGTATTTTTTTCAAACATGAAGTGTAGCAGAACTACGGTTTTTGGTGAGATCTCTCACATACGTTTAGAACAGAGTTAAAAACACCTCAAGAGAGACCGTGCCAATGTGTCTACAGCAGGAGTAAAGTGTAGTATATGATTATGCCAAGTCTTTGGAGTAATCAGCGCAGGCGTCTGGTTTTCTGTCAGTAGAATTATTAGGTCTGTTAACATCTATAGATCTTGACACAGAACGTCCGATATTCCGATTTTTTCATGTAAAGGACAGAGGTGATTTAATGAAACTTTCTTTTGGTACGTTTGTAACAACTTAGATCGTTTATTTAAGATTTGACCTCAAACAACTAATTATATTTCATAGCGATAGAGCCTAAATATTTGTAGTGGCATTGGACCATAACCACACAACCCTCAAAGATGAACACGAGACAACTCGGAAAATAGATATTCATATATTGGTAATTGTTAAGATACAGTGAGTTGGTGTAGTCGATGGTGTGACTTCCACGTAAGATCTTCTAGATTAAGCAGTTATCTACAATTTTAGGATTAGGTCTATTATTAGAGCAGTACTAATATCATAGTAGACCATAATTCTACATATTCATTCACTTCCTTATTTTGTATAGGGATTATATTATCTACTATCTTATATTAAATGTTTAAAAGCTTTGTGTATTTGAACAGGTAACCTCCCGCCCTACTAGGTTCTTTTTCCTGGAGCTAGATAAAGACCTATTCTCTACTAATCTGGTTTCTTCCATCAATAGAACGAGGGTTACATAGTAGCACGAAACGTTCACCATAGGTACTTTGTACAACATAGTATTGAACACCTTAGCGAAGCCAAGAAAGAGAGCATTCGGTGCCGCTCTCCATCTTTGGTGATCGCAGCAACGCAACGTAGTAAAAGCATAGTGATTTAATAAGTAATAAATACTTAAATTGCACAGCTCCACCGTATGTTTCATATGAATCACACTTAAAATCATGGTTAATACCCAGTTGAAAGCTTGTACTTACATTTGTCAAATGTTTCATTTAATATAAATGAAATCAGCTCTTGTATCAGTAACTGGTTAGTTTACAATTGACAATGATCTGATGTCTCTTTCATGTGTAGTGTGTGTTAACTTATTGAAATATTCCTGCGCCCAAATGGCTTTGAGCTCGTTTCCACTAGTCGTCAAGACGAGGGATCAAACGAGGTCACAGAATAGTGTGTAAATCAAGAAATTCACTTCAATTCTTGAGATTAATTTGGAAAGCAGCATTCCGTATCTTCCATTTTAAGTAGGTGGGAAATATCTACGTGAACATGCAACTTTCGTAGAGCTTAGTCTAAGTTGCTCTGTTTCTTTCACACTTTTTGAACTAATAATACCAACCCGTTTGAAAGCATATAAACTAATGGGTTTTACGATTACTAATTTCCGTGAATATTAATCTATAGCAGCCAGAGTTGAATAACTAGGAATCATCTGATAACTTCCCAGTGTAATTATAAACATTAAAAATAAAATGGCTATTTACTTTCTTCTTTTGTGTAGACATTAGTTTTGCTTTACTAAACACTGAAATGTTTCCTTTTCTTAGGTAGCGAACACCTATTTTACTTGACTCGTGTTTTGTGTAATAACCTATTCAATAATCATTTCAAAATCTTCAGATTCATCACATAATGAGAAGCATATAAAGGTCCCACAGGTCTGGTTTGATACTTTAGAAAACTTGTTTTTGCCCACTGCTTCTAATTTGCTTGTTGATACGGAGAGCCAATCAGAAGTAGCCTAATGAGAAAGTAAATCGATGCCACTTAGGAGTGACCTATAGGACAAGTGCATTACAGTGAATAAGAAATGGATCAATTTCCCAAAGGTTAGAGTGGGATATGTATATATGAAAGGATATTTTTGCACTTCACTGAAAAGCTCAATTAACGTTCTCTCTCGCCCTGGTGTTCTCGCTCAAATAGTCAGTTAGAGGGATAGCATGTAGCACACCGTGTATCAGTAGCAGATTTTGGACACAGCACACTGTCTATCGCTTTCTAGTGGGCGAGTTCTAAGCTACCCTTGTCAAACTTTCCGCAGATCTAGGGGCTACACGAAGTACCTTACTCAATCGGCATGAAACAGAATCTTTGCAAGAATGTCTAAAAACCTCAGAATATTGTGTCATGGTTTTTACTGAATGTTTACATATACCGCTGCTATATTCGGAATGGTTCGGGAAATTTTCGGGAGTCCTAATTTGTTTGAAACTCCACAAATGCCCCTGAACTTTCTCTGCATAAACTAATTTTAGATTAAATCTTCTAAACGCAATTCACACCTTCTCCCTTGTGTTACATCTGACGTGTAAGAGTAGCTGGGTTTGTCGATGCTCACTAGGAACACATTTTAGGTGCGTTGATGACAGGACCACTTTTTCGTAGTCAAGGAATTTGTTGTGTAGCGACAAGTTTATTTCATCTGACTGGCTTAATACGACTTGTATTGTCGAAACCTGATCAGTTCATGACAGGCGATTACAGCAGTTTGTCTGTTGATCACGAATTTGGATGTCTGATGATACTTTCATCCATTTTAGCAGCACTCTGTCAAAGCTTTGGCTGAAAATAATAGCAACGTTCCAGTAAAGCGACTGTGGAATAACACTGCTTCCTGATAAGACGACACTTGAGGGTAAACGTTCTTTAACGTAGAAGATATGCATTGAATTCTGAGCATTTAATGAAAAGTAGGGAAGTCCAGTAGGGCTGCATGTGTCGACAATGCAAGCGCGATCAATTCGAACCTCTTTTGCCTTAACATTAAACGTTACTTCGCTGGTTATATTGCACTCGTGACCTTCACAATAGAAATTAAGGTCAACGATGATGCGGCTTCAATTTGCGATCATATGGATTAGAAAGTTGCATCAAGGCGACTCAGTCGTAATATGCCAGAATGACTGGTACAGTATCAGAAAAACGTCAACTACAAACCAGAATCTTGTAATATCTACATAGTACTAACACTCAATAAATTTCCTTTATTTGGGTATATCGATGAGTTCCCCCTCCTTGAGGAGACCTATTCATTATTGTAAATCCACCTAACAAATTCAAAATCTTCTTTCAAATTGAGATTATATTCCCGTATTTCCAATCAGTAACCAACTTTGCAATTGTAAAGAAATGCATTCGTGGTCAGCTCTAACAGAGTCCTGTCCACTTTTTTAGAGATTTTTCCAAAAGGCATTTTCGAAAGTTTATTTATTCTTGTCTACCTACTTAGCCATTAATGGATAGACTGGTTTATTTCTTCAAACAGGCTTAAAATTTCTATCAAGCATAGTGTATTGGTAATCATTTAGGGATTATTGACCAAAGAAAAGAGATATGATGGAGCTAATTAGAAGAAATATAGGATATATATTTGTAGAATTATGGTCTACTATGATATTAGTACTGCTCTAATAATAGACCTAATCCTAAATTTGTAGATTTGTCATATAGCTGCCTAATCTATAAGA